GGAGAGAAGGAGAGGAGGAGGAGGAGGAGGAGGAGGAGGAAGGAGGAGGAAGGAGGGGGAGGAGGAGGGAGGGGAGGGAGGGAGGAGGGGGAGGGAGGGGAGGGAGGAGGAGGAGGGCGGGAGGGAGGGAGGGAGGGAGGAGAGGAGGGAGGAGCAGGAGAGGAGGAGGAGAGGAGGAGAGAGGAGGAGGAGAGGACGTGGAGGAGGAGGAGGAGGAGGAGGAGGAGGAGGAGGAGGGAGGAGAGGAGAGGAGAGGAGGAGGAGGAGGAGGAGGAGGAGGAGGAGGAGGAGGAGGAGGGATCGAGGAGGATGATGAGGGGAGGAGGAGAGGAGCAGAAGGAGGGAGGAGGAGTAGGAGGAGGAAAGAAGGAGGGGGAGGAGGCGGAGGAGGAGGAGTGAGAGGGGGGAGAAGGAGGGGGAGGGAGAGGAGGAGGAGGAGGGAGGAGGGGGAGGAGGAGGGAGGACGGAGGGAGGAGGGAGGGAGGGAGGGGGAGGGAGGGAGGGAGGAGGAGGAGGAGGAGGAGGAGGAGGAGGAGGCGGAGGACGAGGAGTAAGACAAAGAAGAAGAGGAAGAAGAAGAAGAAGACGAAGAAGAAGAATACGACAGTGATCCCGTCGAACGGCCTCTGAGCGCGCGGGAGTGGCCCGCCGAGGCCGCGCGACGGGGCGGCATGCACGGGTTCCTGCGTGCAGCGCGCGGTCCGCAGTTGTTTTGGTTTCGAGAGGGATTCCAATCCTACGGCGGGGTGGGCTCGGCTGACAGATTCCCAGATTCCTGTACAGTCGGGGCCTTGACCTAAGGAACCCAAAATAAGGAACGAGGCACCGTTTTTTCCATAAGTGAAACTTCGATTTCCGATCGAAAACATAAGGAAACCTTGAGGCAAGCTGTGAAACACTTAAGGAACGCGGAGCCCCTCCCCAACGAGAAGGGTTCCTTCTTCAGGGCTCCGACTGTAGGGCCTTTCGACGGCGGTTGGGAGGATGCCATCGGCCGTCTAGAGGTTGTGCTCTGCAGCGCCGGGGTTCTTCTGAGGAGCTGGAGCCCTCTCGGGAGGGTTTCGGGGGCCTCTCGGGGGCATGCCGCGCTACCTGACGGTTTAGAGTTACCCCAGATTTTGTAATAAATAAAAGAGAGGGGGTCTGGACCCTCCAAGACAAGCCATTTCAGACCCCCCCCCGTGGGAGAACCCTCCAGAACATCGTCCCCAGACCCCCCCAGGCCCTCCAAGAGAGCCTGGAAGAGACCCCCCCCGAAATGAGACCCCCCTCCTGTTATTACGAAACCTCGAGTACCTGACGGGTTTGAGTCACCCCGTCCCCGCGATGTCTCCAATTCCTCAGCGGGTATACTTGGCAGGGGAGGCCGAGATGTCGGCGCCGAGGCGAAGGCAGGAGGCGGTGGAGCCCACGCTCTCGAATCTGCGGGACGGCGCCCTCGGCATAGGCGGCGGAGGGAAAATGTGGGCCAGAGGACGCCATGATCTGTTGGCCTCACCGACCTTGGCCAGGCTGCCCCATGGACTCGGGATACGCCAGATCTCGTAAGAAAGGGAGGGGGGTCTCATTTCGGGGGGGGGGGTCTCTTCCAGGCTCTCTTGGAGGGCCTGGGGGGGTCTGGGGACGATGTTCTGGAGGGTTCTCCCACGGGGGGGGGTCTGAAATGGCTCGTCTTGGAGGGTCCAGACCCCCTCCCTTTTATTACGAAATCTGGAGTAGGTGGACCAGGAGGGGGTATTCACTTATCCTAAGCCCGCCAAGATCGGTGCACCCCAGATGGATGGGTGGGGTCCTTCCGGAGAGGAGCGGGTGCAGCAGCAGGCCAGAGAAGAGGCAGGGAACACTTCTGTGGTTCCTGACGCGGCCACGTTGCGTGCACGATATCATATTCCTGGATGTGCAACTAACGCCTTGGAACGATCCCACCAAAGTCGAGTTTCGATCGCGTGTGCTTTCAGTTGGCGTGTCTCATTCCGTTTTCTCTATGCGTCCCGTGTGCGATGACATTCGGATGTGCAACAGGCGGCACGTATCGTTTCACAATGGCCGGTTGTGTAGGACGGACCGTATTTGTGTACACCATCTCTTGTATATTGTCTGTCGAGTATCGTTGGCAGCACCGTGCGCGGAAACACAATAGAAGTAGTTCGCATCGTTATGCGTATCCACCAGTCAGATTATCCATTAAATGAGACATAGGAGTTGCATGAGGTGTCAACGCAGGATGCGACAGTTCAGGCCCAGCTGGTCGATAATCACTTCAATAGCGAACATCACACGTGTGGACGATATTTCGTGTCATGGAGCTAGAAGTGGAGGAGTCGCTGTCTTTCTGGGTTGACGGGGCCTCAGTGTAGTTGTGGATACGATGCCGACGACAATGCAATCGGTTGTTCAGTTATACACAAGAACAACATTGGGGTTTGTGCCTGATGCGACGCGTATACTAAGACAGCTTCTGCGTGTAAATCAGAGGCATCTGCGCATAGACCTTTCGATTCCTCTTTAGGCCATGTCAGAGGAACCCGATGAAAATCATGCGGCGCCGATTGCCCTCCCCCTGCACCCCTCTGGAGTGCGACACGTCGTCCCTTGGACCTCTCCCTGGTCGCTCTTGGAACCGCCTTGGAGCCTTCATGGGCCCCCGTTCGACCTCTATTGGCTGATGTTGGGGCCATCTTGGGGCATCAGCGGCCCGTCTGAAGTTACACATTCGATATTACAAACGTCGTGGACCAACGCATTGCATGTTTCAGTAGTTTGGTCATGTCGAGGGCCTCCTTGGGACCTTCAGTGGCCACTTGGGGGTGTCTCGGGGTGCTCTCGCGGTCTCTTGGAGGCACGCCGGAGGTCATCTTCAATTTCTGCTGTTGGCCTATTTGGGGCATCCTGGAGGCCGTCTCGGGCTTCTTGGAGGCACGTTGGAGGTCATCTTCGAGTTTTGTTGACCTACTTGGGGCATCCTGGAGGCCGTCTCGGGCTTCTTGGAGGCACGCTGGAGGTAGTCTTCGAGTTTAGTTGGCCCTCTTTGGGCATCCTGGAGGCCGTCTCGGGCTCCTTGGAGGCGTGCTGGAGGTAGTCTTCGAGTTTTGCTGGCCCTCTTTGGGCATCCTGGAGGCCGTCTCTGGGCCGATTGAGAACGGGGGCCTCGCGGGAGCCGCCGCGTGCCGAATTGGGGGTGCTGGCTCCTCGCAGTGCCCAACGCCTCGTCTAGGCCAAGGCTTGGCATCGCTCGGACGTGTGCACTTTTCCTCGGCGAGGGCCATCGAGGAGCATCTTTGATCACTTGGCGAAACATGCGCGCACGAAATCGAAAACTGCACGGAGAATGGACGTCCGAGCGATGGCCAGTTGATCATTTAGCGAAAAGTGCACGCACGAAATCGAAACATGCACGGGGAATGGACGTCCGAGCGATGGCGAGAAGGGGGGAGAGACCGGTGGGCGGGCGAAGCCCCTGCCCGAGAGGGACGCCGCAGACTCGTGGATAGGGGAACAAGAAGTGACAGAAACAGAAAAACTCGGAGGTCCTCGCGGACTTCTCGGATCGGCGCTGGACCCCCTCCCTGGCGCGCGGAGCGCGCCAGGGGCGGCGCCTGAGGCGCCCAGCGCCGATCCGAGAAATCCGCGCGGACCTCCGAGTTTTTATATTGATGTCACTTTTTGTGCCCCTAGGCAAAGCCCCTGCCCGAGGGGGACGCCACAGACTCGTGGAGCCAGCCGCGCGCGCGAAGAGGGCCGGTGCGGTGAGCACCTCTCTCGGGCGTCTCCCGCGCGTGCTCGCAGCAGCCCGGCCCGGCCCTCGGGGCTCGAGCAGGCACTGCTCGGGGGCGGCGCGTGAGTCGGCGACGCGGCGCGATCGTCCGACCCCATCTCCTCGGAGCCCATTTAGGGAGCCTCCAACGTATCCATATCCACGCCCTCGCGGTCTAAATTCCCGGGCGCGATCCCGCGGATACACGTCGGGAGCCTCGAGACGGGGGTCAGTGCAAACGGGGGTCAGCCAGGGCGCCGGATCCTGCAGGATCCTGCGAAGACCCCCTCTGGCTGACCCGGGTTAGCGAGCCGCTCGTGGCCGCGAGGCGGCCGCGCGTATTGGCTGACCCGGGTTTGCGAGGACCTGCGTTGCAGTTTTTTTTTCCTGCATTGCAGTTTTTGGTTTCCTGCTGACCCGGGTCTGGATTGACCCGGGTCAGAAGATCCCCGAACACGGTCGCACAGATGTCGGGGGCGGCAAAGAGGGGGGTGATGACTAGGGGGGGGGACATCATGGCGGGGGCCATGATATTCCCCCAGATTTCATGGCGCCTCTTCTTGTTTCATTACGTCCCTGGCCCCCCCGCGGGGCCGCGCACATGCCGCCGGTCATGATTTGCACCCCCCCTCTTGGACACCCCCTTCTTGGCCGCTCCCGAAGCAGGCACTGCGTGCGAGGTTCCAGGGCTGGTTCTTGGTCGGCGCTCTGCCACGGCTGTGGCTGTGTCGAGTTCGGATCGCGCGGAGGAGTTTGGCTGACACGGGGAGGCGCTCATGAGGGGGGCAGGCATTGCGTTCGATGTTCCAGGCTGATTCTTGGTCAGCGCTCTGCCATGGCTGTGGCTGTGTCAGGTGCGGATCGAGCGGAGGAGTTGGACTGACACAGTGTGGAGCCGCTGAAAGGGGCAGCCCCCCAAACTGTCAATCGGAGGAGGAGGAGGAGGAGGACAAGCAGGAGGAGGAGGCCGAGGAGGAGGAGAAGGACACGGCACAGGAGGAGGCTGCTGTACGCGGCGCGGCCGGTGCGGCTACGTCGCAGTTGGCTGCATTCGGCAGGTTCGGTTCTGTCGGTTGTTTTGCCACGGCGTCCTTCCACGTTGTTTTCGGTCCATCTGTTCCGATAGACTTGGAATTATAGATGGACTAGCAGCAGCAGACATCGATACGGGTATGTGCCAGGCAGCCTACTCTGACCTCCACGTACGTGCATGTATTTCGCGTTTCGCACGCGCTGTCGTATCATCATACGTTTGTTGTGATGTCATCGGTTGCTCTTCCCTTCGTCCAAGTCGGGGTCGAAGTTGCATGCCCTCCATCAGCAGAATCGTCGCGTTGTTGAAACATCTGGCGCCAGAGGCACTCAACAGTGCAGTGTTTCATGTATATAATGTAAGTTTTGGAGCTTATTCGATTCGCTCCCATTTCTACGTTTTACTCGGTGCCGCCACTCGAGGCCTCCTGCTTGTGGCTGCGGCAGTGTGGCGCGTGGTGACGCCCGTGTTCGGAAGGGCGAGGGGGAATGCCTCACGTGGAAATCATTGTGACACGACGTTTGTTGGTGACTTTCTCTCATTGTTCCCACGCGGGTAGCATACAATCGCGAGGTGGGTCGCTATCCTGGCCAGTGCCCTCCCCTTGGCGCTCGACGTTAACCAGCATACGCTACACGCATGCGTTCTCGGAAGGTAAATGCTGCCTAGCGTTGGGTCAGAGACGTATAGGGCACCCTTTACGAGGAACTCCAGAGTCTGGTTGACCAGTCGCTTGAGCCTCGCGTCGTGACATACGTCAGTCCACATGGCAGACTCGGTGCCCCACTCGCGATTGGCTCGTTCCGAGTTCCAAGAGTAGTGGTAATTGTTTTCGGAGTTCAGGCATCCAGCGAGCAATCCTCCAACCACACAGAGAAGGACTGCCCAAGTTTCAGAATTCAGTTCGCACCCGCCATCCCTGTCAAAATCCAATATTGTACCAAGTGCCCAAAGGGATCCCGGTCACGATCCAGGTTCTGCCGCCAGGTTCATTTTGAATTGTTCTGTGGCAGGGATGGTGGGGGGTGGCCGGTCGATTGAGGGTGGGTCTGATAGAGAGCAGTGATAAACCCCTCACCGAAGGTTAAGAAGGGAGTTGGAAAAGAAGGCGCTCTAAACTATCTTCTCCCAGAGGGCTGGCGAGATTTGTTTGCCTTCAACGTTAGTTACACTCCCGCTCCCACCCGCCCGTCATGCTGAACCAGTATTGGCCGACTGGAAAGGTCCGGAGTTGTCCCAGACATTGGTTCGGGTGGAACAATTCGACGCTTGCCCCCAGCACGACGACAAGAAGTCATTTCAGGATGCTTACCCGTACGTTTGGTGCGAGTTTGCGTTGCGCATGACAGCGGCGCGCCTTTAGACTCCAAGTCGGGGGTCGGCAGATTCATTCCCATTTTTATGTTTCAATCGACGGTCTTGCTTCTTCCTCGCAGCGCGCGGGAAGGCGGAGACGCATGGGGTCCGACTTCCCCCCGAAGGTCCTGGGGCTAAATTCTGTTCGTCCAGAATGTTGTCCTACGGTGTGCTTTGTTTCCAGTGTCCGGTGTGTTTGTTGCAGTTCGCGGCTCCGGACCACGACTTTCCTGTCCCGTAAGACGGATCCTGCGTCTTCCGTTGCTGGCTGGCTTTCCCATCCGCCCTCCTTGCTCCTTGGCTTCCCCCTGTTGCCCTCTTCTCCCGCTGCTCTTGCTCTCCTCTCCCGCCCGCCCCCCCTCTCGCCTCCTCCAGCTTCGCTCCTCGCTCCAGCCCACCCCCAATCCAAGACGCCTCCTGTTCGGCACGGGCACCTCCCTGCCGTCAGCATTAGTACTTGCAGCGCCGATTCTGGTATTGCGCCGTTGTGCGGGGGGGAGGGGGGGACAGTTTCCCACTCAAATTGTCGAGCTCTCTGGGTCCGAGTCCGGAGCTGCTACAGCCGGTGACCTGAGGTCCCAAGAGGCGGTGGATATGGATTTCCAAACGACCCCTTGCGATTCCTGCAGGTTTGCTGCCGACTGTCCGGAGGACTTGTGAGGATTCTCAAGGCTTCCTGTGTGCCCCATTCAGATTGTGGAGGATGTCTGAAGATGTTGGCGGAGTCCAGATGTATTCCTTAAGGATTCTTGGGCGGATTCTGGCGGAATTCTGCATGCTGCTGAGGGCTCCCTCGTACCTTGCGCTGCGCCCGCCGTCCACTGCCCGGCGCCCGCGCCCCCACGGCCACGATCCATGGGAAATCACAGTGCTTGCGCAGTCCCACGGCCACGATCCCTGGCAAGTTACACTGCGCCCGCGCTCCCATGGCCAGGATCCGTAATGAATTACGCTGCGTCCGCGCTCCCAGGGCCAGGATCCACAGAAAATTGTAGTGTGTCCGCGGCCATGGGAGATCCGTCGGATGTTTTGGGGTTCCGAAGAATTCCCACCAATGCCTTGGGATTCCAGTGGGTTCCCGAAGGACTGCTGGGGATTCCTGAAGGTTATCTACTGGTTCTTGGAGGATTAGCGAGGATTCCCAAGGGGTCCTCAAGATTTCCTCAAGGCTCCCTGTGGGCCCCACTCAGACTGTGGAAGATGTTCGGCGGTTCCTGGAGGAGTCCAGATGGATTCCTGTAGGATTCTTGAGTGGCTTCCGGCGGATTTTCTGCGGGCCCTTGAAGGGTCTCTCGCAAGTTCTGCTGCGTCCGCGCTCCCAGGACACGATCCCTGCAAACTGCACGGCGCCGCGCGAAGAACGGTGTCTTCGCACTCCCAGGGCCGCGGGCGGACTCCTGCGGGTTATAAGGATCTCTCGCAAGCTCTGCTGCGGCCGCGCTCCCGGGACACGATGCCTGCGGGTTGCACGGCGCCGCGCGCACCCGGGGCCTGGATCCGAGGGGACAGCGGTGTCTTCGCACCCCCAGAGGGCCCCTCCTCCTCCTCCTCCTCCTCCTCCTCCTCCTCCTCCTCCTCCTCCTCCTCCTCCTCCTCGTCCTCCTCGTCCTCCTCGTCCTCCTCCTCCCCCTCCCCCTCCCCCTCCTCCTCCTAGTTTCGGCTCGCGAGGTGTGCCCCCTGGGTGCCTGCCAGCGCAGGCGAGGGCCCCCCCGCGCGCGCCGAGACCAGCGCACGGCACGACGCCGCCTAGGGAGGCGGCCAGCCATCATCGTGCGCGACTCTGCCGAGCGGCGGATCGCTCCCTGCTGCACGCCTGCGCGGGCAAGGCCACGCCCCGCCTCCAGGCCCTGCTGCAGAGCGCGGCAGAGAGACTCGACGAGCACCACGGCTCATCTTCGGGATCGATGGTGCCGCAGCCTGAGGAACGTCAACCACGGGTTCTCCGTGGGCCGCGTGAACCAACGTGGGGATGCCCCAGCTGCGGCACGAGTGCGAACTGGGCGTGCCGCATCGTCTGCCGCTGCGGCAAGGCGGCCCCCTTCCACGTGGTGCAGAAGGCCAGGAAGGCAGAGCAGAAAGCCAAGGAGTCAGGCAAGAGCGGTGCACCTGCAACGAAGTCACCCTCGAAGTTTGTGGGAGGACTGGCCTGCGGCCTACCCTGGCGCCCTGGGCTCCGAAGGCCAAGGATATGGCCAAAATGCAGCACCAGCTCAAGCAACTCCTTGCAGAGAACAAGAAGCTCAAGAAGTGCAGCGGCAAGTCCTCGGACATGGAGATTGATGAAGGTGAACATGGAGACAACGTGGCGGCGTCTTCATCGGTCGCGCAGCGAACGGAGCTGCAGGCGAAGATCTCCAAGTACGAGCAGACCATCAAGATGTACAAGGACGATGGCGAGGACGAGCTGGTGCGCGACCTTCAGAAGAAGCTGGAGGCGACCAAGCTGCAGGTCCAGTTGCTGCGCACGCCCGCTATGGCCCACAAACAGTGCACGCAGAAGCTTCAACGGGTCCAGAAGCAGATCAGCAGGGCGAAGCATGACCTGCAGTCCCTGCAGCAGAAGCTGGAGAAGGTTCAGAAGGAGCTGGACGAGAAGAAGGATTTCCTGGAGAGCAAGATCGGCGAGGAGCAGGTCCTCTCGGTGCAGCTCGCTGGGCACGCGGCGAAGCTCAGTGGCACGGCAGACGCTGGCATGGAAGTGCCCCCCGACAGATTGCGGCTTGACCCCGAGCTTCACCAGCTCAAGTCGGACCCTGACCTGCTGCAGTTCTACACCTCGTTCTCGGCGAACCCCCTGTTCGCCAAGATGGAGGAGCTGTACAGGCAGAACATGGCGGCCAAACTTGCTCAGGCGAAGTCTCCTGCGCCTCCTCCTGCTCGCGAGCCTGGCGTTCACAACGGGGGCGGCGAGCATCGGGGAGGAGGGAAACCTGATGCTGATGAGCAGGGAAGTCGACATGATAAACGCGAGTCATCCTTTGTGTGGGATAAAGATGACGTCGAGGAGCTGCACCGAGCCATGCACCAGGGTAAGAGCGAGGGAGACGTGTCCGTCAGCCCCGAGCAGCTTGCCGAGATGGTCGCCAACGTCCAGAACACGAAGCATCGCAAGCTCGACAGCGGAGGGGCGGCCAAGACGGGCGGCTCCTAGCAGAGCGCGTGAAGGGCGACGGGTGCCAGCCGTGACAGGGCTGAGCGATCGGCGGAGCGATTCGGCAGAGGCATCGGTGCCGAGCGAGGTGAATGAGTCCCACTTCGTCGAGACCTATACACAACTCGAACCAAGGGAAGCAGACGCTTAAAAAGAGGCTAAGCTGCACCAAGTCCCTCATCGTGCTCGCGCAGGAGATAGGGTACCAGACTGGGAGTGCGAGGCCCTCAGCTCCTGGTGCGCCAGCAACAGGTGGAACGTCATGGTGGTGCCAGGCGCCCCTACGGCAGGTAAGCTCCCCGCGGCAGGCCTGGCGACCTTTGCGCGTGAAGGTATAGGGCTACGAGGACCGACTTATCCTCCGACGAGCCCCGCAGCACGGAGATCCACGGTCAACGAGCAGATATCTTTTGGCAGCGAGCTGGTACCGCATCGTGCCCAACATGCAGTGGTGGAAGTTCCTGGATGGCCACCGATCAACATCTTCAACATATACCTGCACACGGGCGAGGGAATGTCCCTGAATAATGCCAAGATCCTCATGGACGTGGGGCTGGCGATGGCAGGGCAGACGTGCCATTACCATCATAGGCGGTGACTAGAACATGACGGCGGCGGAGATCGAGGCATCATCGTTCACGGTTCATGCCCAGATATCACTGCTGGTGCCTAAGTCCATCACATGCAGGACGGCGACGGCCAACTCAGTGATTGACTATTTCGCTCTCACCTCGGGGGCCATGCGGCTCGTCAAGGCCATGCAAGTGGACATGAAATGGGCAATAAAGTCACATCGGCCAGTGGTCATGGAGCTTGCTACGATGGGCAAGTGGATGATGTACCTCACCTACGCGGGCGGGGGAAAGATCGAGGTGACCAAGCAGGTGGGGCCCATGCTGCAGGACGAGCACGACTGGGGGCTCGAGAGGAGGTACGCTGAGGGTGCTGCGGAGATGGCCTTGTCTGGCTCGGTGGGATCGGTATGGCGACCACTGTCCTCCGCGTGGGCTCGCTTCGCTGCGCAGGCGGCTATCAGGCTTGGGCATCTCACGGGTACCCCAATCCAGGCGTACTCATACGGCGGTTACTGACGACCACAGTGGGTCTCCTACATGTATGACGGTCGGACCCAGAAGGCATCCAGGCTGTGGCTGACGGCTGGAAGTGGTATGAGGATGCGCTCTCAGTGATAGCGAAGCTCCTGTCCAACCGGCCCGCGGTCGATGGCAACAAACTGCAAGATGAGATCCATGATTTCGACGCCACCGACTACGCTGGGCAAGGTGTCAGCCAGCGCTTGGATGCAGTAGTGACTCATGCTCGGCGGGCACTAGCGGCACCGAAAACATCAGCGCAGGACCTCATCAACATGATCGAGGTGGCGGCCGAGGACATCGGCAGGGCTAAGCAAGCAGCGGACCGCGACAGCTCTCAGCGGTGGAAGCAATGGTGCGATGGAGCTAGTGAGAATGGAGCTGGACGGCTACACCGAGTGACGAAGTACCAGGACGTCCAGGTGCCCACGATCGTACGTGGCCGACCTGACCAGTTTCAATCTCATTTTCATCGTATAGTTGAAGAGGCTGAAATGTGCATATCCAACTATGGCGATCGACGTCAACAGCGCCACCAGCATGGGTGCCAAACAGAAGCAGTCTCCCGAGAGTGACGGCGTCAGCAATAAGGAGAGTATCAGCGAGCTTCTCAACGCGTACGTCTGGCAGCTTGGATGGTATACACCCGTCGCACTATCAGCGCCTGTCTGACGCTGGCTTGGAGGCCCTCAGCGCGCTGTGGGAATCCAGCGAAAGGATTGGACTGTGCCCCAAGCAGCTCACGTGGATGGTCATGCCGATGCTACCGACAGCGGCAGGTGGCCATCGCCTCATCATCCTCTACTCGTCAAGTTATCGAGTATGGCAGCGTGCGGGGCGAGCTGAATTTTATGAACTTCAAGACCACGTGGCAAGAAGATACTGGGGAGCGGCATCGGGCAGGTCGGCGATCGACCGTGTTTGGAAGCTGTCGGCGAGGGCTGAAGCGCGTGTGTCAAATTTCAGGCACACGGCGACCCTCATTGCTGACTACAGCAAGTACTACGAGACGCTCGAGCTGGCTCAGGTCCGCGACAAACTATGCCGTCTGGGTGCGAAGGATGGTCACATCAAGTTGATATTCAACCAATGGCAAAGTCCGCGGATCATTCGAGCACGTTCTCACCATGGTCTGCGGCCACAGCATGCGTCATATTGACTCCCTGGGGGAGATGGATATGCAGACATAGTCATCAAGGCGCACGCTGTTGAGGAGTACGACGCCTTACATCTCCTTCTCGTCCTACATCGACGGCGCTGGCATCGGCGTGGAGGGCGACACCACAGAGGAGGTGGTCCAAAAGGCGATCTGTGCAGGGCGTGGCTTTCGGCAAGTGGCGCGCAAGCTGCAGGCGACCATCAACGACAAGTTCGCCATTGTGCGTAGCTCGGATGACATCAGCAAACGGATCGCAGAGGGCCTCAAAGTCCAGCAGCAGTCGGTCAAGCCAACAGTATCTATCTTGGGCACCGATTTCGCCGCGGGAAAGAGGCGCGGGGCAGGAGGCACGCGTGGGAAGTGCAAAGCTAGAGCCCGTCGTCACCAGCAGAGGCTCCGCAAGCTCAGTAAATTTCGGAAAGCGATCCCAACGAAAGCGGCAGAGCGTATATCCCGCATCTACAGGACGGGGGCTAAGCCTGCGCTCACATGTGGAGTAGAGATCAGTGGGGTGAGTGACAGCGAGCTCGTGAAGTTCCGCAAGACCTGTCAGAGCCAGCGGAAACCCTACCATGGGGGAGTTTCAGCGTCGGCAAAGCTTGTCCTACTTGGAGATCCAGCGGTACACGAGGCGGTGGCTCCTGCCCTCCAGTGGTGCCGCATGTGCTGGATCGCCAACCATTGCCCCCAGGCCGCCACCGTTGACTTCAACGAGCTGACTCAGTGGCGGGACAGCGCGGTTACGGTACCAGGGTTACTTACGCAGTGGAGTCAAACACGAGGACCACTACAACGAGCAGATATGTGCGTCCAAAGGGCAGGTTGGGAAGTCGCCAATGGGACCCAATGGAGGAATCAGCGCGGGGACATCGTGGACATCACCCAGACCACCCCCGTCATGCTCGCGACTCTGATGGCACAGGGTCTTCATCGACAGCATGAACTGGCGCTGGGTGCAAAATGGTATGACGACCCCTCGCTGCGAGTCTCCTTCGATTTCGTGGCCCCCTACATCAGGATGAACAGCAGGAAGTTCAACACCCACCAGAAGTTCTGCATCATGAGCTGCGCGTGCGGTGGTATCTGGACGCGTTCGCGGGCAAGAAGCAGGGGCTACATCGCTGACGGCAAGTGCAAGTGCGGCGAAGTCGACACGGTACTACACCGACTGGTGGAATGCCAGCTACCTGAAGTCGCCGTTGCGCGAGCTGATGCAGAAGTTGAGGAGCATGCCATACAACGCATGCGTGATGATGGCGAGGGTGGACGGCTTGTGACAGGTTGCTTCACCTTTCATGATGAAGAGCTACCGAGGATGGATCTAGGTACTCAAGCCTGCGTGGTCACCATCGACGGTCTTGATGTGGATGAAGGGCCTGAGGGTATGGTACAGCATGCGGTGCCGTCAGATACCGAAGAGATCGGGTTCGCCATCGATGGATCGTGCACCAAACCAGTGTTACTGGAGCTGCAGCGGGCAGGGTGGGCGACGGTGCTGCTCGACCCCCAAGGCACGGATGCGCTGCGAGTGATGTACGCGACAGTGCCAGCCAGCCTGCCGCAAGCTTCGGCCATGGCCGAGTACCTCGGATTTGCCTTTTCGTGTCAGGCGGCTGACCGACCTACCACGCTGCACGCGGACTTCAGAGGGACTGTCAGCCAGTTCAACAAGTCGGCTCAGCAGCAGGTGCAGGTCACGCAGCGGTACGGCGGCGTCTTCGGCTTCGCCCAGAGCCTGCCTGGGCTCGCCCACGTGAAAGCGGTAAGACATGTCAAGGCTCAAAGATCTGGAGAGGACTACGCCAACCTTGATGCCGAGACCAAGCGCATAACGGAGGGCAATGTAGCCGCTGATCACTATGCGGCAGAAAGGGGTTAGACGGCATGAGGCAGTATCTCATGAACTTAGTGAACGGCTAGACCAGCACCAGCATATGTGTAAGGACATCACGAAGCTGATCGCGCACATCATGCCCATTTTCGACCAAGAAAATGAGCGGTGGCAGAGGAACAGCACGGGCTACAAGCGCATCAAGAGCATCAGGACTGACAACTGGCACGACTGGCAGACTACGGACCTCGGTCAGCAGTGCACGCGTTGTCTACGCCTACGGCAGCCTGGGCATGATCAGCTCAATGGGTGCTCTGGGACGCCGTCCTTTCTCAAGGAACACATGGCTAACACACTGGGGCACAGGTTGGTGGCAGTGAACCAGAAAGGCGACCTCAGCGACATGACATGCAAAGCGACAGTGTTCGCGTGCATCAAGTGCGGAGCGTGGGCGCAGCAGAGAAGGATTATCAAGTTGCGTGAGCAGTGCACCTGGCCGACGACCACAGGGATTGAAGTTCTCAGCAACCTGCGGAAGGGCATAGGGCCGCACAAGAAGCTGGCAAAGCACATCGACGCCAGCATGCCGCTGCAGTATCGAGATCAACGGCATCAGCAGCCTGAGAAGGTGGTGACTCGAGTCGCTCGACCTGCACCTGACGGCCCATATGACCCCGAGCAGCGCATGGCCAGGTTGCATGAGAGAATCCGCGCCAAGGAAGCGGCAAGGAAGCACCATATCGAGGATGCGAACACCATGCTGGGCAACAGCGGCATCATGGAGAGCTTGGAGGGCGTTAGAACGCAAGTCCTGGGCGCTGCTAGTCGGACACCCCAGGCTCAATCGTCGCCACCGGCTGGCGTTAGATCGCAAGTCCTGGGGGCTGCGGCGCAGCATCCCCAGGCTACGACGACGGCGACCTCGGCAGCAAGCTCTCGACCGCGGCGCAGGATTGCTGGCAAGACCACAGTGCGTATGTCCCCTGCCAGGCGAGGGGGTAGGCCTGAGGAGGCGATGGCCAACGAGACGGACAGCTCCCCTGCCAGGCGAGGGGGTAGGCGTGATGACGCGGTGGAGGTCAACACGGCGGTTTCCCCTGCGAGGCGAGGGGTTCGGCCTCGCAACAGTGTGCTGGACGGCGAGGTCAGAGCCCCTGCCAGGCGAGGGGCAGGCCTGAGGTGGCGATGGCCAACGTGACGGATCTTTCCCTTGCCAGGCGAGGGGGTAGGCCTGAGGACGCGGTGGAGGTCCACACGGCGGAGTCCCCTGCGAGGCGAGGGGATAGGCCTCACAACAAAGTGCTGGACGGCGAGGTCACAACCCCTGCCAGGCGAGGGGGTAGGCCTGTGAAGCACGACGAAGGGGCCGAGCGCCCGAGGACCCTTGCAGGGCGAAGGGTTAGGCCTGAGGATGTGGTGGGGACCCACATGGCGGTCTCCTCCATTGCGAGGCGAGGGGTTAGGCCTCAGGACAGCGCAACGGATGGAGAAGTCACCGCCCCTGCCAGGCATCAAGAAGGGGCAGGTTGCCCGCACTCCCCTGCAGGGCGAGGGGTTAGGCCCATGGCGACCAGCCTCGACGACGCCGAGGAGGACCCCTTCCTCAACATCGGCGACGGCACGCTGGTCTGAAGTTTTCAGAGGTGCAGCTGAGTTAGGGAACTCGATGGGGCTGCTGCACGGCGCGATCGCCGACCTGCTGGTCAACGCGGTCGCCTCCGAGCCGACGAGCGTCGTCGGCGACCACGTCTCCCTCCTCCTCTGAGAGGGAGCGCCGCTGCCTTCGCTGGCGGCGGCGTCGGAGCCCGGCCGCGGCGCCACCGCGGCGGCGTTCGGCTCCGGGAGCAGACCCGCGCCTCCGCGGCCTCTCATCATCACCATCATCATCATCATCATCCCCCTCCTCCTCCTCCTCCTCCTCCTCCTCCTCCTCCTCCTCCTCCTCCTCCCCCCGGGATTTGGTTGATTCATTCTGGGTTGCTAACACATCACGAGGGGTGTAGGTCGGTCCTGTCCCCCCCTCCAGAAGTGACCTCGGGCTGCAGGTGCTATCGATCACGCCGGGGGGCTCGATGATTGCCCCCCGAGGCCAACCGCACGCGCAGAGACGCGCGAGATCTCAGTCGCGGCGAGACCCCGAGAATCCGATCGCACAGAACGATGCCCGTGGATGCGAAGCATGCCATCTCCCTCGTTTGAGGGGGGGCTGGGGCGATTAAGGGCTCATCCTTCGGGCACAACCGAGCCATGCGTATGCGCGTGCGAGTGCGCACGGGAGCATCCCCACTTTGTTTTTTTGGGGACACGCTCGCGCGCGTCTTAGTGGCCGCACACATTAAGGTTGATGTCGTCGCCGTTGTTGTTGATTTCGTTGTTGTTGAAGGTGTTGCTATTATTGGTGTTGTTGTTGTTGTTGTTGTCTATATATCCCTCTCTTGTTTGGTTGTTGGTGGTGGATGTCTATCCCTCCCCCTCTTATTGGTGTTCTTGTTTTTTCTCTCTATCTCTCGCCGTGTATATGTAGATCTGAATACGCATTGATGTATCACACTCATTTGTTTGCTGCCTCCCTACAGTTCGTTGTTTCCATGTTGTTTCCCCCGCGAATTCCCTCCAGTCCTCTCCCCTTCCTCCCTCCGATGCCACGGGTGCAGAGACGGTCGCGCTTCTGGCATCCCCGAGCGAGAGACGCGAAGTCAGCCGACATTGGCCCAGGATGCCCGACTTTGGAGACCCAGAGCGGCTTGCCTCGAGGCTTTCTCTCCCTCCTTGTACCTTGCGAAGGCCATCGCGCGCAACGCGACCTTACCTGACCTGACCCCATCGGGTGGCAGAATTTTATCCCGATCAAATACAGTCAACCATGATGGTAAGGATGGGCAACCTTCCCACTGGGTACCCTTGCATCCTTGCCTCCTCGGTCCATCCTTCGCCGCTTGCGCTGGCCGCGCCCCGCTCGAACATCCTCGAAATGGTCTTCCAATGCCCTTGCATCCTTATCGCGCACGCATCCTTCCTATACTGGTTGACTGTAAGCTGCGAGCTTAGCGGTTGAAGGCGATGACCCGTGGATGTCTGCGGGAGTGGGGCGGCGTCTGTTCGGGCCAGCGGTTCGAGTACGCAATCACCGACCTTGTGTGTGTGTGTGTGCATCTCCTGGACAGGAGTTTGCCCTGGGGGGGGGTACGGGGCAGGGCCAGCAAGGGGTGTGCTCGAGTGGAGGGCGGGGCGGCGGGGCTGTTGGGCAGCGGAAAGGGCGAGATGCCAACGAGAGAGCATGCAGACCAAGAGGCGTTGAGAATTGCAGGGGCGGAGCTCGGGCGGTACTGGGGTTTCGAACAAGTTCCCGCAAGTTTATCCGCATTCCACAGCAAGTCCCGGAACAACATGGATGTTTAATATGTTGCTCGTTCTTGCTTCTGACACAGAGTCGCAAGGAATCGGACATTGGGGAATGAGATCGCAGTGGAAAGGAGAGCTCATCACCGGGAAATTGGTTTCGGTTTCGTGTTCGTGTCGTGCGTGCGGGCGAGGCGAAGCTACGTGGGCGCGCGAGAGGAATGATCCCGCCGTCGCTAGGGCGATTCGAATGCAAGTGTCTGGCCCTCCGGTGGGCGCGCGGTGGCTGGGGGTGTCTCGCCGTGGTGTCTCGCGGTGTCCCGGTGGTGTTCCGCGGTGTCTCGCCGTGGGCGCGCGAGAGGAATGATCCCGCCGTCGCCAGGGCGATTCGGATGTAAAAGTCTGGCCCTCCGGAAGGCGCGCGGTGGCTGGGGTTGTCCCGCCGTGGTGTCCCGCCTTGTCCCGATGGTGTCACACGGTGGTCCCGCCGTGGTGTCTCGTGGTGTCCCGTGGTGTCCCGTGGTGTCCTGCCTTGTCTCAGTGGTGTCCCGCGGTGTCTTGTGGTGTACAGTTGTGTCCCGCTGTGTCCCGCGTTGTCCGCGGTGTCCCGTGGCGTACAGTTGTGTCCCGCTGTGTCCCGCGTTGTCCCGCCGTTGTGTCCCGATGGTGTCCCGATCGATAGTGAGATCGATAGTTAGATCGTTAGTGAGATCGATAGTGGGATCAATAGTGAGATCGACAGTGAGACCAAGCGTAAGATCGATAGTAAGATCAACAGTGAGATCGATAGTGCGATCGGTAGTGAGATCGATCGTGAGATCGACAATGATATCGATAGTGAGGTCGATTGAGTGAGACGTTGGTTCTTCCCCCCGAACCTCCCAATAACCTGAAGGGTGGTCGTACAGGTATGTGTTCCTGAAGCTTCATTGATCGCCCGTGCCCACTCCAGATGCAGCCAGCCTTGCGAATATGTGTGTGTGAGTGTGTGTGCGTGTGCGTGTGTGTGTGTGTGTGCGTGTGTGCGTGCGTGTGAGTGTGCCTGACGCCCATGCCCCAGAAGCAAAGAGCTGCGGGCGCGTCTGCGCGATGGCCTGGCCCACGGCGCGGGGGGGGGGGGGCGGGCAGGCCGCGGCGCGTCGTGGCTGTGGTGGCAGTGGCAGTTCCTGCTGCACGACCTGGGCATGGCCAAGGGCCGCGCCTGAGGGGCCGCTCGGCGGCCTCCGCGCGGGCTTCTCGCCGCGCTGTGCGGTCGGCCGCCGCCGCACGCCCCAGCGCGGCGTGTGCTCCGGCGCCGGCGCCCAGACTGTGGGCGCCCCGGGGCGGGGAAGCGGCTCCGCAGCGCCCAAGCTGCTGGCATGGTCATGTTGCAGCGCTCTTGCATCGGGCAGGCCGGGGGTCGATTCCCCCCAGATTAGAATCCACGCCTCGGAGTCTATCGGGGGTGAACAGAACCCCAACAGTGACACGTCGATTAGTGAATTGTCCGTTTTCCGTTTTCGAGAGGGCGCCGTGGCCGTTATTTTCCAGGCTGCGCGCCCGCCAGGTCTGGGCCTCAGGTCGTTTTCACTAAACCACGTTTTACTAAAGGGAGGTCTGTCCATCCCCGAGTCTAGAACCAGCACAGAACACATCACCAATCAGCGTGGCGAAGGGCCCGACCGTTGGCAGTCGCGTGTGGCGCAGTGCGTGGCCCCTGCCTCCGATGCTGCGCGCAGGGCAGCGCGGGCTGAGAGCTGCGGAACGGGCGCACAGAGGCGCCTAGAGCTCCGCGTGGGGTGCGATCCGTGTGAGCGGCGTGACAAAATGGGTGGGGGGGCGGTGCCCGAGTTCGTTCCTCTTCTAGGGTCATGTGTGGAAGCCCGTGGGGCGCGGGTGTGAGAGGTGCTCCAGAATGGACCGAGGCGGCGTGCAAGCCCCCCTGCTGGGGCCAGAGATGGAGCTCAAGTGTGGGGCGCGACATGTTGCAGCGGTGTGTCTATCTGGGCGGGGGACGGCATGCGAGGTCCTCTACTGGGGCCAGAGGTGGGGACCTTTGTGGGGCAGGCAGCGTGTGAGGAGTGTCCCGAAATGGGCCAGGGGCGGCATCCCTGTAGGATGTCCCCACATGCGGGGGCAGCGGCGTGCGAATTCTTCTACTGGGGCCCGAGCCCCTATGGGGTAAGTGCGTACGTGCAATGGTTGCGCCGAAACTTGCGGGGTTAGGCATGCGAGCTTCTCCCTTGGGGCCATAGGTGGAATTGCCTTTGCGGCACAAGCGTGTGAGGGTTTTTCCGAAATTGACAACGGGGGGGCGGCATGCCAGCCCCTCCACTGGGGCCACACGTGTTTCTCCGCTCCATTGTTTTTGGAGTCGTTCGGATGATCCAACAGAAGAGTTTCAAGAGTCCCTCTCAACGGCCCGACAAACCACCGGTATACCTGTAGTCCCCCAAGCCGGCCCGAGAACCCCGAGTGTTTGACAAGACCGCGATACGAGGCCCCGAGATTGTACCAGGATCCGCACAGATGGCCCCACGATGGATCTAACGAGCCTCTTCAGGACAGCGTCAGAACACTCGGTAGACACAGCGCGTTCTCGGCAGCCTCACGAGCCTCAGAAGGCATCCCACGGGTTCCAAACGGCGTCCAGGAGAGCTTTGATAAGGTCCCCGTGTGCCTTAAGCAGGGTACAACATGCCTCCATACAAAGAGCCAACAATAATAGATTATGCAGTCAGGAGTTCTAGCATCCTGGCGCCGCTTCTAACATTTGTGTAGTACCATGTTTCCCAGCTTCGGAAATGACCTCGACGGACCTAGGCATCCTACACTTCGATGTATCTCGGCACGGTGGCGGGGTTCCTGTGTGTGCCGCCATCGTAACAATAGCCACAGTGGAAAATGTTTGCGGTGGGCCAGCACGTGCGAAAGTGGTAGGCGTGTGTCGAGTGCTGATTGACAGACGTTTGAGTGTCGGATTTCCAGCATGGAAGCAATTCCCTTGATAGATGTGATAGGTGAAGGCCTCCAAAACCCAAGACCCTTTCTCGATCGCGGCTGTACTCGGCCGCTTCGTGAACAGAGTTCTCGGCATTCTGCGTAGTTGTAGGCCGCCGCAGCGGCGGACGCGCGCGCGGGCGTGCGCGGATGTTAGCTCTCCTCGGTGTTGAGCTGCCGCGAGAAAGAATTCGGTAGTGGTTGCGTCAGACCGGAACATCTCGCTGCCGAGCCCAGCCCAGGTTTCCACGGTTGCACTGGAGCATTGGTGTATGGGGCCTGGCCAGTAGCCGATCTTTTGTCCTCGAGTCCCCAACCTTTTTGTCGCCACGATGGAGGTCCAGAGGGAACCTGATCCTGATCCTCGTTACCGGGGCTTTTCTCTCGGGACCAGTTCTTCGTCCGGAGCCGTTTTTTGTTTGTCAGCAGAGCCATGGACCGCCCCAGGGGCCCGAACATTGCGACACTGACTGAGGGGACCCGCTTCCCCCAGGATCCGCTGCTCTAATGCCAATTTCTTAGAGGCCCCATCCCTCGTTTTGTCGTATCTCACCAGCCTCGAACTTATCCCTATCCCTGAGATTGACACGCCAAAAGGCGATGACACTCTTAGGGATGTACCCTCAGAAACTGAGGGAATCCCCAAGATCGCCATCGTGATGAGGCGATGCCCAACATAGGGATAGGGATCTGTTGTGGGCTGGTAAGTATCCCTCCTGCTGCTGCAGTGCATCCGCGGGCTTCACCCAGGTTGCCGGTCTTCTTGGGGTATTCGTTTTCGCACCGCCAGAGACGTCCTTGTCTCGTGTCGAGCCCCAGGTTTCGGAGGCCTGGGGCTCGACACGAGAGCCCACCAGCCCACCAATGCGCTCACCAGTTCACTCCTGCTTAGTTCCATCCTACCTCGTAGGTCGTAGGGCTGCTGGAGGAGGGGGGCGAGGGGGAAAGATCCGCACAATCCACAAACCTCCAGAGTTCTAAGCATAGTTGTTCGATGCGCCACTCTGGCCAGAGAGGCCCCAGATTCAGGAATGGCGCTGTCGCCCGACACTTTCTAGCAGGTCATTCAAGTTGGTGAAAGCCCAGCTGCGACGACAACGGCTCCCGCTCGATACATCCTCAGTTTGCTCTGGGACGCCCTTGCTAGAGAGGCCCCTAATCTCAGAAACGGCGCTCTCCCCCGAGACTTCCCCATAATCAGTTCGATTTGGTGAAGGCGTAACTAACACGACAGTTGCTCCCGTTCGATAATTCCAAGCGCTATAGTCTTATCCGATATCATGCTCAGGATTGCCGCTCTCACCTGAGAGTTCCTCGCGATGTATTCTAGCTGGTGAACGCCCAGCTACGACGTCACCAGCTCCTGATCGACATTTCCCCACAAGTTACTCTCTCCGCACTCTTCGTCCTCTTCCTCAACATCTGTCGTACATTACCCCGAGTCGCCCTCTCCCCCGAGACTCCACGTACGTAGTTCGATTTGGCGAAGGCCCAGATACCACGACAATGGCTCCCTCTCTCGACCTTCCTTGTGATTTTCCCGCGTGCGCTTTGGCCACACGCATTCTCACACTCGGGCACGGCGCTCCCACCCGAGACCTCCTCGCAACTCGCTCGAGTTGGTGCGCTGCCCGTGGGCGCGTTGGCTCGCATGCCGACCATGGCGACGCGGTGCACCTTCAAACGGCACTGCTGAGTGTGTCTCCCAGGACCAGGCTCCTGTCCAAGGCGTACCTTTTCCTGCACTTCGTCTTCGGCACCGCCTGATCCCGAGGATTTGCCTCTTCTTGGCCTTTCCGTGAGGCCTCTCCTTCTGTATTCCCTTCTTTGTTAATTCAAGCTTCGCGCGGCCCGCTTAGCTGCGACCGGAAGAGGTGCGCTCTCGACCCGCGAATCAAAAAAGTGTCTCCCAGGCTCTGGCACGAAGAGGTGTTTCACCACATGGGATTGGGTCCTAGGGAACAGCGCTTTCTGCCGCTGGTGGGAAGGGGGGGTCCGGCCCTCCCCCGACAACAAACATGGCGGGGTCTGGAACCCTCCCACCCAGTGGAAAATGATTCGGGAGGGTTCAGACATGGAGTTGCCATGCGGGAAGTGCACCATCTTCGGGCGGGCACGCGTGGAATTGGGCATCAGGCATTCGCTGCCGTGCTGGAGGTGCGCCATCCTCGAGGGTGCATTGCGGAAGTGGCCTCGGAAAGGAGGTCTGCTAGTAGAGTGAGGGGCACTCCCTGATTAGAATTCAAAAACCATACCAGGCAGTCCTTGGCATTCTTCCACGCCTCAAGTTGCAAGGGGGCACGGTGGAGAAAACCCTAGCCAAAGAGGTACTTGCCCTTTAGCGCAGTTGTTCTTGGGGGGGGACACTGGAGAACCCGTTTAGTCGTTGTGCAGGTCGTGGTTACCTCTTGGGCCACCTTGAGCTGTCGTTGGGCGTCTTGGACGCATGCTGGAAGCAACATTTCACCACGTGTGGCATGTCTGCGTGACCAATACATCCATCTTATGGACGCCTGAACCTTTAAGACCCCCCCTGGAACCCTCCTCCATCGCCTCCCCTTATTGTAATGGCCTCGGGCGAATGCCACCGATCGGGGGGCGACTGGATGTTTGTGCGGGGGGGGGGGGGGGCGTCGAGGGGGCCTCATGAGGGTTCTTGGGGGCTCTGGAGTGCCTCTTGGGACCTCTAGGGGGTATCTCGGGGCGGAAGGCAGGAAGGATCGGTTCGGGCTTCCCCTCTGGGGCCTCTCTTGGCGTTGTCTTGGGGCTTTCTTGGGCCGTCTTGGGCGCCTCGTGGGCGGTTTCGGAACTCTCGGGGCGTCTTGGGATGGTTTTCGGCGGTCTATTGGACCGACTTGGGAGGAGCCTTTGGGGCGTCGTAGACGTCGTGAAGGCAGAGAAGTCGGACATGTGAAACATGTAGGACTTCCCGGAAAGAAATTGGATGGTGTCTGCCTTTGGGCGCCCTCTTGGAGGTGCCCTTGCAGGCCTCTTGGGACGTCTTGGGCGCTGTTGCGGCCACTACTGGAGGCGATCTTGGGTGTCTGGGCCCAATCGTTCAGCGATTTGTGTAGGGCCTATCAGAGGTCCTGAGTTGTACATGTGGACGTGTCCGAGGCCCCCCCCCCCCAAGCAAAAGGCGAAGCCAAGCGGCACAAAGCGGAGCACAGGCACGTTCAGGGGATCGCCCCACCCTTGCCCGGCAGAGCCACCGCGGCAACCCCCCCAGCAGAGTTGAAGCTCAGGGTCCAGGTTCTGGCTTAGGGCTTTTTTGAGCCGCACGCGCCAGATCGGCGGAGGTCCATCATCAGAGTTGGTCTCACAGGAGAGGCTCGGCGGATTTCCTCTCGGGAATGTCCCTCCGTTTGTTTTTGAGCTCGCCTTCGGTAAAGGCAAGCAGCCCGAAGCCATGAATTCGCTCGTGAGCCGTGCAAGTGACTAGACCCATGCGTTCGCCTTGGAGAGTTACATTTTCTAATGTTGAGAGTCTTGCCGACGGAGGCCATCGCGAAGGCTATCGAGATCTTGGCCAAGGCTTGCAGCAGGAAGGGAGACAGTGGAGCAGCATGTATGTATACGGAATACATATATATACACGTATCTATATATATGTATATACCGGTAGAGCCCATTCAAGATCCCCCGATGTGTTGTCCCAAGGCGAGAGTCATGCCATACTGTAGACGGGTGGGGCGGGTGAGGTGGACGAAGAGGAAGATGATGAGGTGATGAACGGAGAGGCGGGAGGGCGGGCGGGCGGCGGGCAGGCGGGCGGGCAGCGAGTGGGTCGGGATTTGAGTCGACTCCTTGAGGATTCTCTCTTGCAGCGGGAGCCTGCTGTCATGGTGCCAACATCGCAGAGCGGATTTCGTTCGGAAAACGATAGGATGGGCCCGGAGTGTCCTGGAGAATTTCGTTCTGGATTTGGAAGTGAATTTCGTGTGGATGTTTTGGCAAGGTGTGAAAGCCAAAACACATCCACGCGAACTTCACTTCGTTTTTCGCTCGCCGTTTCGGGGTTCTGCGTTGGCAGAAATCCACGCAGAAATCCGCTGCAGCACGTCTGCAAGGCCGGTGCAATGTCTGTTGAGTACCGGGTGTTGTCTTGGAGACGGGGGTTGTTGAGTGCAAGGTGTTGTCTTGGAGATGGAGGCTGTTGAGTCCAGGGTGGAGCATGCTACACGGAAGGTGGGCGAGCGGGCGGGCGGTGGGCGGGTGGGCGGGTCGGGATATTATTGAAATCTTTGATTCTGTCTTGCACTGGGAGCCTGTTGAGTATTGAGTGTTGTCTTGGAGACGGAGTCTGTTGACTACAGGGTGTTGTCTTGGAGACGGAGGGTGTTGAGTACAGGGTGCTTCATGCTACACGGAAGGCGGGCGGGTGGCGGGCGGGCGGGCGGGCGGGTGGGCGGGTCGGGATTCTAGTCGACTCCTGACGGATTCTCTCTTGCAGCGGGAGCCTGTTGAGTATTGGGTGTTGTCTTGGAGGCAGAGGCTGTTGACTACAGGGTGTTGCCTTGGAGACGGAGGCTGTTGAGTACAGGGTGGCGCGTGCTACGCGGCAGGCGGGCGGGCGGGCGGGCGGGAGGGCGGGCGGCGGGCTTGCGGATAGGTATTTGGATAGATTATTTCCGGGTTCTCTCTTGAAGCGGCAGCTTGTTGAGCACAAGGTGTTGTCTCTAGACGGAAGCTGTTGATTGCAGGGTGTCTTCTTGGAGACGGAGGCTGCCCCTTCAGTATTCGTGGAATTTGAAACGGATAGGTTGTTCGGGGAACCGCACGAAACTGTGGATATCGAAAAAGTGTGTGCGTGGGGGGGGATTTTGAGTGGACTATACCCCATATCTGTACATATAAGAATAGATGCATGTGCATATGAATGCTGAATGTATACTTGAAGTAATATTCATATACGTATACATATGTGCAGATGTGAACATGCAGCCCAATGGAATTCGGCCGCGAGGTAAATGCAATCAGAGTGTTGCGGGACTGTCTGAACAGCGAGTGGAGCGCGCGTCGTGTTCAGACATGGACAGCGGTACGAGCGTGCACCCAGGGCATTGTGAATGTTCTCAGAGAGCCTCGCTGGGTGCTAGGAGGAGCATGGATATCACAAGATCACCACAGGTCTTGCAATTCGCTACTTAGTTTTATTGGTTTGCACGAGCAGTGTTGGCACGGCCACGTTGGGCCGACGGATGTTGGTTGCTGCCCCCCAGCCACCGTCCAGGTCCTGGAAGGCAAGGTACACAGTTTTGTGGCCACTGACGAGGCTTCTCCAGCCTCATCATTGTTAAGATGCGGCCATTGCTGCCCAGCTGGAGGAATGGTTGATATTCATCGCCAGGCACCGCTTAGCCCGAAGGGGGTCAGATCTATCTGGCTCGCCAGACTGGCGAGCCAAGTCAATTTCACCCACTTCGACTCGACTTCGCTGTGCCGAAGCCAGCGCTGGGAAGTCCAGTAGACCGACTTGGCCTTGACCAGACAGGCCACCCCGGATCCCATAACAAAGTGGGGGGGGTCACATGTGGGAGGGCTGTCTTGGAGGGTTCGAGGGGGTCTGGGCAAACGGCAGCTCTTCCCTGGCTGGTCTATGGAGGGGTCGAAAATTACGCGTCTGGGAGGGTGGGGACCCCCTTCCTTGGATTGCGAAAGCTGGAGCGTAGGTTGGAGTAGGGGAAGGAGGGAGACGAGGAGGCAGAGGTGGAGGACGCGGTGAGCGAGCCAGAGGCGCAGGACCACGGGGATGGATTGGCGCGAGGAGGCGGAGGGCGGGGGCGGCCTGTCCTCGCGAAAGCCCCCCCCAACCCGGGAGCCGGCCCAGGCCTCTGGCGTCCGCACCAAGCAGCCCGAGAACCCGGTGCTCCTCGCGGAAAGTTTGCCGCTTCCTGGAGGGGGCAGGAGGAGTTGGAGGAGGAGGAGGAGGAGGAGGAGGAGTTGAGGAAATGGAGGAGGAGTATGAGGGAGGAGGAGGAGGAGGAGCGGGAGGAGGGAGGAGGAGGAGGGAGGAGGAGGAGGGAGGAGGAGGAGGAGGACAAGGGCAAACCCAAGACTCATCAACGCTGTGGAAATACACCCTCCTTACAGGTCCCTCTTCACAGGCCCCTACAAGGGCTCATCTCCACTGGGGGAATTGGCCCGTTGGGGGGTAACCGCGTGAACATCTTCTTGTATGCTACGACGCCGTGCTCAGGAGTTCAACGCCCCGAAAGCCACCTGACTGTTACGTCTTGGCGATCCCGAAGCGTGCCAGAACACCATTCCTGGGACTTCAACACCGCGAATCAACAGAACTGTTGCGCCCTGACAATCCTGAATCGTTCCAAAACGCCCTCCCTGGTTCGTTAACCATGCGAACCAGTGAAACGCTTTCACATTTCTCAAACGCATGTGCGCGGCGCTAGTGCCAAAGTCACATTTTGAAAGCACTCGCCCTCAACCAGTTGAAGTATTGCAAATGTCTCGAACTAATATGCGCGGCGCTATGGCGAGAGCCATGTTTTGAAAACCGCCCGCCCTCAATCCGCGAAGCCCTTACAATTTGTTGAAACATTAGCGCGGCGCTGAGGCGAGAACCACATTTTGAAAACGAACCGCCATCACCCCGCTGAATTCTAAGATTCGTTTAAACCGAATATGCGCGGCGCTAATGCGAGAACCACATTTCGAAAACGACCCGCCTTCAATCCTTGGAACTCTTGCAATTGTTTTTCATGCGCGCGGCGCGAATGCGAGAGCCACATTTGGAAAAGCACCCGCCCTCAATCTGTGAACCTCGTGCAATTTCTGCAGCGAGTGTGCGCGGTGCTAAGGCGAGAATCACATTTTGAAAACCACCTTCCCTCCATCCACGAAACTGTTGACAGTTTTTAAGAATCGGGGTCGTATACTGTGAGGGAGTCTCCGGCGAGACGCCCGGCCCACCTTTTCGACCGGCCTCGGTGTGCGACAGGGAGGAGGAGGAATTGAGGAGAGGGAGGAGGATGAGAGGCAAGGAGCCGTGAGCGGAGGAGGAGGAGGAGGAGCATGAGTAGAAAGAGGAGGGAGACATGTTGGCAGCTTGGGTGACCTGCCTCAGCTTTCTTGGAGAGCCTTGGAGAACACCAGGGCGGCATCTTGCCGCCCAGGAAGCCTCGGGAGGGGGGGGGACATGCGGAACGTTGTGCCTGGGAAGGTGGGAGGGTTTCAGAAGCTTTGCAGAACAATTGCAAGACAGCATTTGGCATTATACCACGCCTCCACGTGCCAGGGGACACGGTGGCGGACATCGATCTCTCCTTCCCCCTCGCGCAACGATGTTTTGTTGAGTTGACGCGTAGGCAGATCGGCTCGGAGTCATTTCACATTTTGCCTGCCGCCTTCCGCTCCGCTGCCTTTAGCAGGGGGGGGGGAAGTGGAAAAGGGTGTGGAGGCCGTGGGCGAGCACGGAAATGACGAGCTGGTGGCAAAGAGGAGAAAGGCACGGGTGGACAGTTTGATGAAAGAAGGGAAGCAGGTAGTAAAACGACGCGAAGATCGGGACAAAATCGGATCGGGATAACTCGAAATATCTGAGAATCGGCGGGTTTGGAGGATGTATCGAGCGCCGCGGCCGCTCCGGAGCGTGCTGGAACGCTTTGAGAGCGCTCCGGAACGCTCTGGAGCGATTTATCCCGATCTGAGCCCTGTTTTAGGCAGGATTGGTCGGAGGGACGAAGGGAGGGAGGGCACAAGGGGCGGGACAAAGGAATGGGGAGGACGGGTGGAGGAAGAGGGCAGCAGGAAGACAGGTGCAAAGCATCAGGGATCTAACCACGATTCCGATGATGCAGCTGGAACCAGGACAGAAGAAGGACGGTGGAGGAAAGACGGAGGACGGAGGCAGGTGGCACGAGGCAGGATGAATGAGGAGGACGGTGATGGATATGATGAGGAGAATAAGGAGCAGCAGCATGTGGATGACGAACAGAAATTTGAGGAGGATTCGGAGGAGGAGGATGAGGATCGTTCGGACAGGATGAGCAGCATGGGTAGCGAGAAGGAGGAGGATGAGGAGATGGAGGTCGGAAGAATCAGCGGGGATCATAGAGTTTGAGAGAGGAAGCGGGGTCTCAGTGGAAGAGGGAGAAGGGCGGACAACTGATTCAGCTCGAGGGGGCTACATACTTACCATGCTCATCATGTTGGCTCGTCTCTTTTCTCCTGACTCTTTCCTCTTTGCATATCCCTTTTCCCGCATCCCTCCCTCACCCACTCGACCCACCCGGTGACTCCCTCCTCCTCTCGCTCCTTCCCCTCCTCTCCGTGGTCCCCCCCTCTCCTCTGGCCACGATCAGGTCAGGACCCCTTCAAACAGTGCGAGCAGTCTCCACTAGGCGCGTGGGGTGCACGTGCTTGGACGGCCGGTTCTGCAGGCAAAAGACCACTCGAAGCCCCATGTGCGTGCGAGAGGGTCCGCCGGGCGCCCCGCCGACGACTGTCCGCGCAGAGCGGCCTGCTCCCAGGGGCCGCTCTGCTCCTCGTGGCGAGGCGAGCGGCGCCTGCCGTTGGCTACCTCCTCCTCCTCCTCCTCCTCCTCCTCCTCCTCCTCCTCCTCCCTCCTCCTCCTCCTCCTCCTCCTCCTCCTCCCTCCTCCTCCTCCTCCTCCTCCTCCTCCTCCTCCCCCCCCCTGCTCCCGGCCTCCTCTGCTGAAGGGGCCCTGGGACACACAAAGAAATACACACGAGTACAAGGATTCCCCATATCTTTTCCCATACGTTCTGGGTTCTTGTCTGCCCCCCCCACTACCCATGGTTTCCCATCTTTCCTGGGCGTCGACGATGAATTGTGTCGGTGTGTTTTTGCTCCCTCCTGATCTTCCCGCACCCGCCGGGGTGGATCGGAGGCGCCTCCCCGCGGGCCCGCCGCGCCTCGCGCGCGTCTCGCGGCGCCTCGCCCAAGCAGGCCCCCGCGCACGCGAGCACCGCGCTTCTGGATACACATTCGGGAGGGAAACCGAGGAGGGAAACAACAGGAGCGGGGAGGAGGGACTCCGAGGAGGGGAAACAGGAGGGAATCCGAGGAGGGAAAGGTACGCATTCAGGAGAGAATCGTCCGGCCACGGAGTCCGAGGAGGGAAAAAAACACACAGACACAATTAATCGTCGACCCCTGGGAAAGTATGGAAAAATATGGGAAGTGGGGGGGGGAGGCAAAAACCCTGAAGATATGGGAAAGTATGGGGAATCCTGTTATTTGTGTGTATTTGCTTGTGTGTCCCAGGGCCCCTTCACACATACCGCTACCCTCGCCTCGTTTTCCACTTCTTCGGCCTCCCGGGCAGCGCTCGTTGCCACGGCTGGCTTCGCCTCGGCAGCCTGGTCAGGAGGCAGCCCCGGGAGCAGCGGCATCGGTGCCGATTGGTTTCTGCGGTGAGCCGAGCGTCCGGACGGACGCGTTGGCAGCAGAGTGCGCGACTGGCAGCTCGCCGCGTCGCAGAGCGAGCGACCGCGTGCGCATAGGGGACGCGACTGTGAAGCCGAAGCACCGAGGCATCGGGGACAGTGCAGGCTGCAGGCGAGGGGCAGGCCGCACCTCAGAGAGGAACGCCGCCGGGGGAGGAACAAGATGCCGATGCCACTGCACTTCCGCCGTCGCCACGCCGCCCGGGTTCGCTTTTTCCGACATCGCGGCCAGGACGCACCCCCGGGAGAGGACAACGGAGTGGGAGTGGCGGTGTCTGCACAGGTCTGTGTGCCCCAACCGCTTCCTCCTCCTGCACCCCCGCCGCCCTCCTCCTCTTCCCTCCTCCTCCTCCTCCTCCTCCTCCTCCTCCTCCTCCTCCTCCTCCTCTCTCCTCCTCCTCATCCTCCTTCCTCCCTCCCCTCCCCCTCCTCCCCTCCTCCTCCCTCCTCCTCCTCCTCCTCCTCCTCCCCTCCTCCTCCTCCTCCTCCTCCTCCTCCTCCTCCTCCTCCTCCTCCTCCTCCCCCCCCTCCTCCTCCTCCTCCTCCTCCTCCTCCTCCTCCTCCTCCTCCTCCTCCTCCTCCTCCTCCTCCCTCCTCCTCCTCCTCCTTGCTGCGGCCTCGAGCCCCCCCCCCCCGGCCACTGCTGCGAGGTGCCCCCGCCGTCGCCCCTCGAGGCCGCCGAGAGCAGCGGCGCGGCGCTCTTCCAGCTGCTGGGGCCCGTGGGCGACCCGCGCAAGGCGCTTGCCGCCCCGCGCCTCGCCTGCCGCCGTCGCCTCGGGACGCTTCCCCTGGGTGGGCCCGTTTTCCATCGCCACCACCAGAAAATGGGGGGGAGGGAGGAGGAGGAGGAGGAGGAGGAGGAGGAGGAGGAGGAGGAGGAGGAGGAGGAGGAGGAGGAGGAGGAGGAGGAAGAGAGGAGGAGGAGGAGGAGGAGGAGGAGGAGGAGGCGGAGGAGGAGGAGGAGGAGGAGGAAGAGATGAGGAGGAGGAGGAGGGAGGAGGTGGAGGAGGAGGAGGAGGAGGAGGAGGAGGAGGAGGGAGATATTGTGGTGTTGGTGTTGGTGTTGGTTTTGGTGTTGGTATTGGTGTTGGTGTTGGTGGTGGTTGGTGGGTGGTGTGATGATGATGATGATGATGATGATGATGAGGAGGAGGAGGAGGAGGATGGGGAGGATGAGGATGATGAGGATGAGGATGAGGATGATGATGATGAGGATGAGGATGAGGAGGATGAGGATGCGGAGGATGATGATGAGATGAGGATGAGGATGATGATGCTGATGCTGATGCTGATGCTGATGCTGATGATGATGATGATGATGATGATGATGATGATGATGATGATGCTGATGATGATGATGATGATGATGATGATGATGATGATGATGATGATGATGATGATGATGATGATGATGATGATGATGATGATGATGATGATGATGCTGATGCTGATGCTGATCATGATGAGGATGCTGATGATGATGCTGGTGCTGCTGATGGTGATGATGAGGAGGAGGAGGAGGAGGACCCGCTCCCCCTCCAACTTGTTGGCAGTGGTGGTGGAAAACTAGGCCCATCGCCCCCCTGGGCCTCCGCAGGTGGAGCCGGAGTGGCGACGCTCGGGGCCCGCAGCCCGCACTCGGCGCTTGAGCTCCGGGGGGCTCGGCGGGATCTTCAGCTCGCTGAGGGGCAGCGAACGCGATCTGTGTTTCTGGGGCGACGGAGGAGGAGGAGGCAATGCTCGTAGGGTAAGAGCAAACCTAAGCAGCCCAATCGTTGGTAGGAGCAAACCTGAGGTCCGAACTTGTCGCGAACGGGTGTCGTGAGGATTGTTATCGACGGATCAAGCGCGCCGGCTCAGCGTATGGGGATCTGGCCCTGGAAACAACGCTGCCACCCAAGCGACCTCCAAGGCGGGATCCAGGGGAGACGGCGGTCCGAGCCCGCAATCCGCACGGTGTTTGACTTCTATCGGGGGTGGACAGAACCCCCAACAGCGACACGTCGATTAGTGAATTGTCCGTTTTCGGTGCTCGAGAGGGCGCCGTGGCCGGTATTTTCCAGGCTTGCGCCCGCCAGGTTTGGGCCTCAGGTCGGTTTCACTAAACCACGTTTTACTGAAGGGATGTCTGTCCATCCCTGAGAAGGGAGGGAGGGCACAAGGGGTGGGACAAAGGAATGGGGAGGACGGGTCGAGGAAGAGGGCAGCAGGAAGGGGGATCTGATTGGATTGGGTTGGGGTCAGGCGAGGGGACGCCCGGGGCCCGCAATCTGCACGGTGCTCGATTTCGGGGGGACTCGGCGGGGGGGGGCCTCTGAGGCAAGAGGCGGAGCGAAAGAAACGCGGCACGTGTCAGATCCGAGGAATCGGTGTGGAAAGACCTCACAGAGAACACAGGACAAGTGCAACACGTCAAAACCTATTCAAGCACAGCCACAAGAGCACGAGAACTCGTCACCAGACCAATAGTTGCTGAGAGGCGGAGCTCCCCGCGCCACGGCCCCCGTCAGGGGTGCGTCGAGGTGCGTGCGCCGAGCTAATGAGGCCCGCCGCGGCAGGCGGTCGGGCCCCTGGGGAGAGACCGCGGGAGGGATCCCTCGTGGGGCCCGCTCTGGGCCTCTGGCTTTCGGCAAGCTTCCATGAGGAGGGGACAAACACACACACACACACACACACACACACACACACACACACACACACACACACACACACACACACACACACACACACACACACACACACACATCCTCGCTTCCCCCGAAAATACGGGAAAATATGGGAAGTGGGGTGGGAAGACAAAAACCCAGAAGATATATATAGGAAATCATCGAGAGCCTTTTCATCTGTGCGTATTTTTGTTTGTGTGCCCCAGGGCCCCTTCATGCCAGATCCCCGGCGTGCTTGCAAGACGTCGGTCGGTGCGCCTGCTCTCCAGTGCCGTCGGCCTTCCGGGCCCCTCGCCCGGCCCCGAGACCGTCGGCCAGAGCCACCTCGGGAAGAGGATGGGGGGAGGTCCGGGGGCCCCGGGAAGAGGACGGGGAGGTCCGGGGGCCCCGTCTCAGGATGAGGTCGGCGAGGGGCCCAGCTCCGGGGTTCACGAACCGTTCTGTTCCGGCCGAGACGCGTACGGAGTCGTGTTCCCCCGCGGGGCACGACGCGCGGGAGGCGTGTGCCGAGGTCGGTGCGGGGCGGCGTGCGCACGCGCCCACGGAGGCCGCAGGTGGAGTTCCCCTGTGTGGGCACGAAGCGTGAGAGGGGCCTCCTTCTCCTCCTGCTCCTCCCCCTCCTCCTCGTCCTCCTCCTCCTCCTCCTCGTCCTCCTCCTCCTCCTCCTCCTCCTCCTCCTCCTCCGTCCTCCCTCCTCCTCCTCCTCCCCCTCCTCCTCCTCTCTCCTCCCCCTCCTCCTCCTCCTCCTCCTCCTCCTCCTCATCCTCCTCCTCCTCCTCCTCCTCCTCCCCCTCCTCCTCCTCCTCCCCTCCTCCTCCTCTCCTCTTCCTCCTCCTCCTCCTCCTCCTCCTCCTCCTCCTCCTCCTCCTCCTCCTCCTCCTCCTCCTCCTCCCTATCCCTCCTCTCTATCCCTCCTCCCCATGTGCCGGAATGGGCGCAGAACCCTTCGGTGGAAATTCCCGCGTGGCAACGGATCTTCGTGAGGGGAAGCGGCGTTGCCCCGCACGTGAACGGGCTCACTGAGGCTGCGGAGCCCCCACACGGGGCACATTCGTGAGGGATGCGCCGGAATGGGCGCCCGCCTGGCATGCGAATGTGAATCCCTCCATATGTAATCGAGGCCACGATCCTCGTCAGAGGGCAGCCTAAATGGGCCCCGCTCGGTATGCGAGTCTGCCAACTTAGACCATCTGCGGGGCTCCATATGGGGCACGATCCTCGTGAGAGATGTACCGAACAAAATCCCAACTCACATGAGGCTTGGGAACACAAGGAGGAAGGAGTGCGAGGATGAGGAGGATGAAGCATGGGGGAGCGCGGTACTGCTGAGGGTTGGGGGGGATTGCTGGCCAGATGCTCTTGCAGCTGACGAGGCCAGAGGTTCATGTCGTTGAGCTTGAACACTGCAGCACAGCGACATACAAGATACACTAAATTCGCTTGAGACGAGTTCTCACGTTTGCACGACAAGCCTTCTCCTCCCTGCGCTCAGACATCGCCACCCCGACCTCTTCCGGGGATGCGGTCTGGCGGGACGCATGTGGGCATCCCTATTGAGACCGTACAGTAGGTGGATCTCCCTACGGGGCCGCGAAGCGGGTGTGTGCGTATGTGTGTGTGTGTGTCTACCAGATTAGGCGGGGAAGCGCAAGTAAGCATACCCACGGAGACCGTGGGTGTGTCAGGGGTTTGCCGAAGTGTGCGAGGGGGCGGATGCGAGCATGCCCACTGGTTCTGTAGGTGGAGCTCCTTATGGAGCCGCGAAGCGTGTGAGTCGTGGGTGGACAGACCTTTCCCTGACACGTCGATTAAGGAATTGGCCGTGTTCGGTTCGCGAGAGGGCGTCGTGGCCGTCGTTTTTGCGGGTCCAGGCCCGTCGATTTCGGTCCCAGGCCGCTTTCACTAAGGGGGGGGGTACTAAAGGGAGGTTTGTCCACCGCCGAGAGCCCCCTATGGAGCCGCGAAGCGTGTGAGGGGTGTGCCAGAGCTGGCGGGGGACGCATGTGATCATTCCCTCTGGTCCCACTGTCTCAAGAGATGAGACAGCTCACACAGAGAGTGCCGTGTACTGTACTTGTGGCCCTCGTGTGCATCCGCAATGTCCCAGCTCGTAGTGGAGTCAACGGGCGCCCTTCTTGACTCGAAGTTTAAAAGAAGAACCTTGCCCCTATTATCGAGAGTATCAGTGTAATCGATCAGAAGATCGACTCCCATGATAGCCGTGTGACTGGGCTTGGGGAGGGCCAACGGCCCGGGGGTGGCTTCTCGCCGACGCACTTCGACATTAGTGGTTTCTGTGATCGGGGCGTACGGAGAAAGGAGACACTAGGGATCAGGCGTTGGACACTGTCGCCAGGTTGAAGTTTTCTCTTCCCGCGGACCTCAAAGACGAAGTCGGGGTCACCAAGTCCCGAAGCTCCCGCGTGCAAGAGCTCATGGTCCAGGCCGAGCCCCCGCATGCCACCGAGATCGCGACGGCCCTTCGGGAGAAGTTTCAGGGGGGCCCTTCTTGGAGGCACCGGGGCAACGAGTTGTTCACTACGGTCCACAGTAAGCCGAGCCGAGAGGAGAAGTGCGAAGCAGGCGGGACAGGCCCAGGCGTGCCTCGAGACGAAGGCGAAGAGTCTCGATCCGAACCCCATCACGAAACATTCAGAACCCCCGGCATTTAGCTTCTCCTCCTCCTCCTCCTCCTCCTCCTCCTCCTCCTCCTCCTCCTCATCGTACCGTGAAGACCACGACCAGGGAGCAGCTGTTCCGAACGGTGGGCGATACCGCCAGGGTCAAGTGGCGGAGCGCCACTCTCCAGCAATCGACGATCCCGACGATAGCGAATGGCATAGCTCATGATAGGCCCCTCTGTGGAACCATGCACACCCCATGCACAGGTCTATCACAGCCCTGTGCATAGGGTGTGCACCGGCCTATGGTAGGCCCATGCGTGGGGTGTGCACAGGCCTGTGGACGCCTCCGCCGTAGGGCCTGTGCGCAGCCTGTGCGTTGGTCTACCATGGGCCTACGCACAGCTACAATAGGCGTATGTACAGCCTGTCGACCGTCCTATCGTTTCGTCTTTCGGCGCTGTAGGACGCACCGCAGCACCCCCCCCAACATCCCATATTCCCTCCCGAGTCCCCCCCCACACCCTTTCTACCATCCGCAGTCCGCTGTTGTCTTCGCTGTCGTCTCGTCCTTCGGGACTGCAGGACACCCACGCAGCGCGCCCCCCCACCCCATCTGCCATCTGCAGTCCGCCGGCGTCGTCCGTCGTCGTCGTCGTCGTCATCGTCGTCGTCGTCGTGGCCGCCCCAGGACTGCAGGACGCCATCCCCCCTCCATCTGCCATCCGCAGTCCGCTGTCGTCCGCCGTCGTCTCGTCGCTCGGGGACTGTAGGACGCCCGCGCAGCACCCCCTCCCACCCATCTGCCGTCCGTCCGCTGTCCGCAGTCGTCGTCGTCGTCCTCGTCCTCGTCGTCGTCGTCGTCGGCCATCGTCGCCCCAGGACTGCAGGACGCCCACGCAGCACCCCCCCCTCAAGTGCCATCCGCAGTCCGCCGTCGTTTTCGGTGTCGGCGTCGCCCGTCGGTCATCGTCCCACGACTGCAAGACGCCCGCGCCAGGGGGCACGGGATGCTTTTCGATCAGTCCTGGTAGCCACCCCCGCCGATCCGAATGTTCCGCCCTCGGGCTATTTGGGACCCCCCCTGGCCTCCCAGACGGCCCGGGGGCAAACCCGAATTGGCCGCCCTCTGTCCGAGCTCTTTGTGTTTGCTAGTATGGGGGCCACGGTGCCGGCGACACGATGTTTTTCTCCATCGCAGATTGTTGTCTCGATCGTCCACGCCATCATCGAGGACAACCACAGTGCAATCGAGGAGAGAACACGGGAGGAGAACGGACCACTTACGGGAGAGCCACAGAACGAGCATGGGACAGCCACAAAACAACCATCAGGAAAACCACCGAAACGGCCACGGGACAAACAGGGGAACACAGCACAACCGCCAGAAAACACGGGACATTCGCGAAACAAAACCCAAAACAATTTCGGGACAACCATCGGAGACAACCAATGGGACAACCATGCGATCAATCATCGGGATAACAATCGGGACAACAACAACCATGGGCGCAACCGTCTGGGCAACCATCGGGACAACCATGGGGACAACCGTGGGGTCATCTAGACGGATGACCATCGGCGTCACCCTAACAACGCCACGGGCATTCCTTGGCGCCTGGGGGCCCGACTCAATTTGGCCCCTTGCAGAGGCATTCGCGCTGTTTCGCCTCGCCCGCACGCGCGAAACGGACCGAAACCGACGCCGATTTTCCGGTTGGGTGACCGTTTCAATTTGGTTTCTTTTCTGTTTATGTGTATGGTTGGTTTGTGACATGTTCGTGACAGCGGCATCCCTCGCCCTGGGCTCCGGGCATGTGAAAGCGGGGCGGCAAAACAGGGGGGACGGCCTTGCTGCGCGCTGCCGATTCAATTTCCCTCTGTTGCACCCACTCTCGTCCTGCCAGATCTTCGTGGCAGCGGCAGCCTTGGGCGTCGCGTAATGAGGGGGGGATACGTGGTGGGGCAGCCAGGGCCGTAGAACAGGGGCTCCTTGGGGCCCCTAGAGATAGACCCACTGGGGCCCAGAAGGGGCCTGCTGGGCCCGAGGAGTGCACGCTTCACGATCGCCCCCCGAGCAAGCGACGCCCAACAGCCCCCCTCGCCCCAGGCCCCCCTGATTAGCCCTCACCCCATCGCCCGCGCGCCCGAACGCTCTTCAGGCCTCCGCGGCGCGGGAGCGCGCGGTCAACCTCCTGCGGCGCGAGGCCAGGAGGCGCGCCCCCGCCGCGCGCCGCCAGGGGGAAGAGGCTGCGAGGGCAGGAGCAGGGGCCGCGGCTCGCAGTTCCGTAGGTGTGCAGGCTCCTTCGGCATTGGGCAGTGGCGATGGCAACGTTGTGGCCCACGCTCCTGCCTCCACCGGCGGGGCGCATCGTGGGAGCCCCGGTCGAGTCTAGGCCTCCTAGATGGGGTCGGAGTAGATGGGGCCGGAGGATCGCGCCGCATCGCCGATGCATCGGCGATGCATCGCCGATGCTGCTCGATGTGGAGCCCGATCTTGTCCACGCCGGCGTCGCCGATGCACCGTCGACGTCGCCGATGCATGGCCGGTGCATCGCTGATACATCGCCGATGCATCGCCGATGCATCGCCGATGTATCGGCGATGTAGCGCGATCCTCCGACCCCATCTACTCCGACCCCATCTAGGAGGCCTCTATCGAGGCAGCGTACACGAGACACGCCGCCCGCCCTGCTGCCAGGGTGGGGGGTGGGAAGCGTCGAGGACTCGGGCGCGGAAAAAAGGCACACGCGCATGAGCCCGCGTTGGTTTCGAAAGTAACGCAGGGCGCGAGCGATCGTATCATGAGGCTGGTCTCGCGGACTCGGGGGCCGTGTTCATGTGCGTGGTTGGGCGCGTGCGTGTTGTGTGGGCTCCCTGAGGATGGAGGGCGCCAGTGATGAGAGGGGTCTTGGGGAACCGGGTCCTAAAGTTTCGCTGCTTTCGGGCTCCCGTGTCCCGGGATCCTCCCTGGGCCCCAGGACCGTCCACAATGCATTGAGAATAAAGGCTTGATCTTGGGGGGTGGCTCTGGGTTCCAGGCCCCGTTTCCACCTGGCCCTGCTTCAATCGTGGTGAGTCAGGGCCCCGAGTCATCAAGGCAGCGGGTGGTCAAGGATGATTCCGTATTCGGGCCTCCCGTTTTCGCGTTGTGTTCCCCCCCACATTGTAATCAGTCTGAGTTCTCTAAGATCACACTCTGTCTTACGTAGACACCGTCCAGCGCTGTCCTGAAATAAGAGCTGTTCCCGATCTGGCGGCTCCAGGCTTCTTCTGGGTCACACTTGGCGACCCCCCTACAGAGCCCTACGCGGGCCAGATCAATCCCAGATAATGCGGGTGGCCACCCCTGCCAAGTCAAGGGTACCCTTGTGTCCTGTGTCTCGCGACCCATGCCTCCGACATTCCTATGGCAGTGTTCCCCTCGGAAAGGGTCTCTTGTCCTCTCGCGCGTCCTCTCCAATCAAGTCCGCCTGTAAGGAGTGAGGGGTGTGGGACGAGCAGAAGTCGGCCGGGAGTCGAAACACACATGTCTGCCCGCGATGGGGCGGGAGGAGAGGGGACGGAGCCCGCTCGGTGAGCGTTCGTCCTGCGTGGGCACACGTCTCGTGCAGCGAGGTGGCCCAGGGCAGTGTCGATGGAGCATCCAGGAGGGGAAAAAACACAGACACGATTCATCGTCGATTTTCAGGAAACTATGGGAAAATATGGGAAATGGGGGGGGGAAGACAAAAACCCAGAAACTACGGGAACATATACGGGAATCCTGGTATTTGTGTGTCCCAGGGCCCCTGCAAGCATGTTCTCTTGTCTCTGCACTGCCTTGTCTCAAGCTGCTCCGATGCGCGGCGGCGGCAGGTCCGACAACAAGGCGTTCGCCGAGTTCGCAGAGCAGGTCTTCCGTCCATCTAGTTTCGGGTCCGTCTTGCTTCCCGTCGCCCAAGTTGCGTTCTGATCCTCGCGCAGGTGCAGGGTGCAGACAACGTCCATAGTAAGGACGGGCAGCATCGTCCCTGGTGTATCCTCGCATCCGCCAGCTTCTTGGCCGCACACTGCTCGGGAGGCTTCGTCTTTGGCGTCCGGCGGGCTTGCATGAGTACTCACCGCGCGCCCTCACTTTGTATGTTATACATGTAATGGATGTTTATACAATGTATTTGGTCTGACAATGCTATCTCTGGATGGCACATCGACCAGGTCTCTACGGAACAGATGATTGCTATTGGGTCGCGGGGACGAGCATTTATGGTGTCGTGGGAATGGTTGGTTTGCTTGCAGGCAGATTGCACTGCATGTTGTCTTCTCCGAATTAGAGCTCATGGCTCATTGCGCATGCTGAGTATGAACCATTTCCCGTGCCAGGTGGCACATATGGCGACTGGTCCATTCGACGAGGTGCGCTTATCAGTCCATTCTTCTATGTTTCCGTAACCTTATGGCTCATGCGCGACGGAGACCCGACAGCATTACGGGGAGTGAGTTTTACATCGTGCAGGCCAGTGACATCCATTTCAGCATTCATTTCTTGACCGTTGCATGGAATTGGCGAACTTCTTGTTAGGCTCTTGGCTTTCGCAAGGCCTCGCAATCAACAGTCTGCGTGTTCCTCCCAGAGTGCCCCCTTGTCAGAGCGCGCCGATAAGCGGCGGCGCCCGAAATTCATTGCTGATGTCCCCGGACAGCTGAACTTGCCCAGAACATGCGCTCCACGCAACTTGATCGCGCGCGACGCCTGAATCCTACTCAGTGTCCTCGTGCTCCTGCCCCCCCACTCGCCCCTGCCCCGCTGTTCCCCGTCGTGCCTCTCGTCCCACCTCCCCCCGCTCCTGCGTCTGCCCTCCCGTGGACCCCCCCCCCAGCCTCTGGGGGCGCAGCAGGCCCCCGCGGTCCTCTCTTGCGGCAGGCCGAAGACCAGTGGTCAGTGGTGGCTCCCACACTCGGAGGCGAGTGCCGCCGCGCTCACGAGGCGAGCCCCCCCTCTCGGGCCCACCTCCCGTCAAGCCCCCTCCCCCCCTTTCCGTGGTGTGCCTGGCATCACAGGACCCAGCTGCCACTGAGCAATGTTTCAGGCGATCGCAAACATGGATTGAGGGGGCGTGGATTAGCGACGGGTCACGCTTCCATGGGAAATCGTGCATGTATGCCGCCGAACGAGGCGGCACCGGCCGCATTTTGGGGAGGGCACCTCCCCCGACCCATGGATTTGGCGACCGCGCGCCAAATCCGTGAATCGTTAATCCATGTTTGCGCGCCCCCGAATGTTGGAATTGGCCCGGTCATGGCTGCGTCGATTCGGCAAGCGGCATCACGGAGCCGTGTTTTGGAGCGACGGTTTCGCCAGGGGAGAAGAATATTGAGGCCCAGTCCGGATTGCTTAAGATTTCGCGCTAGCCCATTGTTCTAGAAGGGCATACATGTCACGCCGTGCTGCACAGTAGATTGAGATGCTATTTAAGCAAGGTGCAGGGGATGATTCAGAAGATGATTTTCCGCCTCATGGCAGAGCAGAAGGACGAAGACGAACACAAGACGTGGTGCCTTTGGGGATGCTCGCATGATATCTTGTTGGGCCAATGAAGAGGGCCGTAGCCTTTCGAATGGGATAGTTGCGACACATTTGTGGATGCGGGAGAGGTGTCGCCGAACGCGTGATGTGTTGAGTGTGTGTGTGTGTCCATTGATTGCGTGGCCTGGTGATCTGAAGAGCTAAACTGTATGATGTTCACGCTGAAGTATACAAACATTTTGTTTGAGTGTTGCTGGTTGTCCGGAAGATTGCCGCTTCCAGAATCGAGCGCCTATCGTTGTTGTTGCAGATAGATCGGCTGAGGTCCTGGAGGGAGGTGACACATGTGACAGTGATATGGTGGTCCATTGTTGGTTCGTGCCGTATCTTATTTGCAAGGTCTGCATATGGTCCCGCCGCAAGAGGAAGGGGCGAAGGATACAGAGGAGGAGCAGGTGGAGCAGGTGGAGGAGGAGGAGGAGGGAGATAAGTAGCAGGAAGCATTACGGCAGCGTGCGCTGCATGCTTTTTCAACACGAGCACCCGGTGTGTGGTTGGTGCCAAACTTGCCGAGGGAGAGCCTACGGTACCCGCCCAGGCTCCTCCTCCCTCCTCCTCCCTCCCTCCTCCTCCTCCTCCTCCTCTCCTCCTCCTCCTCCTCCTCCTCCTCCTCCTCCTCCTCCTCCTCCTCCTCCTCCTCTAGAGTGGTCGCACCTCAGTTTCTCTTCGGATCGAGGTGAGGACGCACGCAGGACTGTTCGCTCGATGCAAGGGAAAAGCTTCTCCCGGGGAGGGGTACTCCACCCCAGGGGGGGGGTCTTACCCCTGTGACCCCACCGCTACCCCCCTGGGGACGCCGCCCGCTACCCCCCCGGGGATCCCCCCCCCTCTGCTTTCCTAGGACCCCCCCTCCTGGTGGGAGAGGCATCAAGGAGAAGGGGCTTCCCTTCGACTCGATTACGACGATGCTCGATCTCCCGCTGGCTGGAACGTTTGAAGAGGAGTGCCCACGGACAAGGACAGGGGGGGAGCGGCGAAGACGACGACGAAAACGGAAAAGCGTCCAGGGAGGGGAGCGGCGACGACGACGACTCAATGGGAATAGCCTCTCACACACGCCGACAGGGTCGGCGGATTTGGCCTCGTCGCAGTTTTAGGTTTTCGTCTTTGGTCATTAAGGTATGCATTTTAGCACTGTCATTCTGGTCTCGTGCTCGATTCCATCTGCAAACACGGCAGGTGCGACCTCGAGCTTGAGAAGACGAACATCTCCAAGGCAAACAAGGAGCCCATGCCAACAGCATGTCGGGCGTGCAGCGGGAAGCTGCGCTGCCCGCTGCGGGAAGCCGTACACGGCCTGGATGCGCAGCTCGGCAGAGACTCGTCGAGGGCATGGTGGTGCGGGAGTGGGCGGGTGCTCGTTTTTTGTTGCTCTCCTCCCCAGGGTAGCGCTCGCTACCCGGGCCACACACGCACACACCCCAGGGCAACGCTAACGACTTGGCATCGCTCGGACGTGTGCATTTTTTTTCTCGGCGACGGCCATCGAGGACCATCCTTGATCATTTGGCGAAGAAAATAAAACACGCACGACATCGAAAAATACACGAGGAATAGACGTCTGAGCGATGGCGAGACGGTTGCAATTGGGGGGGGGGTCCTGTACCATGGTGCGCGCATGCGACTGCTGCGCCCGCGGCGCGGACGCACCCTGGCGGGTGCGCGCCGCGGCCGCCGTTCCTGTTGCCCTCTCGCCCGAGACCCCCCCCCAGGGTAACGAACGTTGCCCGGGAAAGGAAAGAAGCAGTCACGGGGGGCTCCATCAGAGCTCCAGCGCCAGGTCCGCAGAAGGCCAACGATCTGGATTATTTATGTTGACAGGAATGGTCGAAAGTCTTCTGCTGGTTCCGACTCCGGCTCCCGACTTTACGACTCCAGCTCCCGTCCATCTTGACGACTCCGTTTCCCATTTCGGCGCCCGCTTCTCCGACTCCAGCTCCGATTCCAGTTCCCTGGTTTCCGACTCCGGCGCCCGTCCCATCTCTCCGCTTGGCATCGCTCGGACGTGTGCATCTTTTCTCGGCGAGAACCATCGAGCAGCATCCTTGATCATTTGGCGAAAAAAACCACGGAATCGGAGAAAGCACGGGCAATGGACGTCCGAGCGACGGCAATTCCGACTCCGGCTCCGATGACAGCTCCCGCCTCTCCGGCTCCGGCTCCAATCTCCAGCTCCTGCCCCTTCGGCTCCGGCTCCCGTCCCGCCTCCCCGACCCCGGATCCGATGCCGGCTCGCGTGTTTGTTCGACCCCGGCTCACGATCCTGATTATTTTGCGAGCATTTTCTTTGGGTGGAGGGCAAAGGGTGAAATTTGAAATGCCGTTTCGATGGATTTTCGAGGCTTGAATTTGCAAAAGGTGAATCACAAGACGGATTGACTCTCGAGGTGCAGAAGCCCATGTGGATTTCACCCTGACCCCTCAACCCTAAGAAAATGCTCCGCTATTTATGTTGGCGGAATGGTTCAAGGTCTTCTGCAGGTTCCGACTCCGATGGGCCCGTCTTGCTGCGATAGGAGCCGGGCATCCACGACCTCTGGCAAGCAGTCCGCAGACACGGGGGTCAGAGGGAGAGGTGGGAAGACGACATCACACACATTCTGACAGCAAGCATGTTTCTCCAACCAGCCTGGAAGCGAACGGTGGTCTACACATAGCGCAGGACAGCACTCAATGGAGCAGTCTGGAACAAGCGCTCCTACGCCACACGCGGCACTGACCACAAGGTCCACATCTGCAGCTGAGGGCCCCGGCCCGCCCGCGCCGGCCTTCCGGGCCCCGCCTCCCCAGCGGACTCCGGCGCGCCTTACCCCAGACCACCGCCGGGCCCAGCCAGGGCCGTCCCGTTCCCAGGAGGGCGCAGAAGCTCTGAGCCTCCCAGATGATGGGGTCCGAGCGGGTGGGGTCGGAGGATCGCGGCCCATCGCCAACGCATCGCAGCGCGGATCGATGTGGAGCCCGATGTTCTCGATGCCAGCGTCGCCGGTGCACCGCCGTCGTCGCCAATGCGTCGATGCCTCGTCGATGCGGCATCGATGCGGCCCCACCATCTCCCGACCCCAGCCACTCGGACCGCATCTGGGAGGCCGCTAGAAGCCATGCCAGGGCCCAGGGCGGCCCTAGGCGGGCACGGCGGTGGTGCTTGGGGTGTGATTACAATCCGCGTAACCTCAGGAGGTCTTTAGTTTTTGGGGGTCCCCCCATACCTGCTTCTCTCGGCGGGGAATGAACTCAGCCCCTCCTCCTTCTTCTCCCGCTTCTTCTCCTCCCCCTCCTCGCCGTCGTCGTTGTTGCGCGGCGGGTACCGAGGAGAAACAACTATTTTCCACCATCGGTGGGGTCCCAGTCCGTCAGTAGGGGCGTCGAACGAATCAGTGTGTTCCACTATTGGGGGGGTGGGCTCTAAAGGCCTATCTCGGTCATCGGGGCCTCCTGCTTCTCCGGGGCGGCCAAACGTGGATGACGTGATGGCCAGGGGGGGTGGATATCATGCCGGGGTTCGTGGTATCTCCTCAGATTTCACGGCGCCTCTTATTGTTTCGATACGTCCCTGGCCCCCATGGCCCGCGCACATGCCGGCGGCCATGATTTGCGCCCCCCTCTCTTGGACGCCCTCGAGCTCCGCAGGACCGCACGATCTCTTCAACACAAAAAGAATGAACGCGGAGCCATGTGCCCCTGCGGCCGTGCGCGTGTCACGTGGGGGCACCAGGAGCCGCGCAAGCATCGAAGGCTGATTGCATGGGCGCATTTGCGACTAAGTCGTTTCGTATGCCTTACAGCAAGAACGTGGTCTCACATGTATGTGTCCGCGCAATTGATATGGCAATATGTCTGCTATGATCCTTGGCATCGCTTCCAAAGCATAGAGTTCGAGCCTTGGGGCTGGGAGCTTTGAGCGCGCATTAAGAGATCATCATGAGTTGGCCCCTTGAATGCCGAGGCTCGCTAATCATGTGGGTCGCTTGGCTCATGCACGCAGCGTCCCAACACTGCGACTCACAGTTTTTGGGGGCTGCAGACTGTTTGCCTCAGGTGCACGGTGGTGCAAGATATTGCGCACGATGTACGCATCCCGCAAGCTGCAGTAAATGGTTTGGTCGCATCTGCCCATGACAGGAGGAGAAGATTGCAGAGCTGGAGGCCAAGATAAACACTGGTGAGGCAAAGGTCTTGCATTTCGCCCCTCTTCGCAGCGGGAAGGGTGATACTGGTGGTGGTGTTGATGACGATGAGGTCGAGGAGAAGAAGGAGCTGCAACATGCGGGAGAAGGACAGGCTGAGGCAGAGGCGGTGGCTGTTGATGGAGAGGACAGTTTGGAGGATGTGTGGGAGGACTGTGGGCCCGCAGCGTATGCGAATGATGATCTCACGCACCTCCAAGCATTGGAGGAGGAATCTGAGAGGAAGGGTGAGGATGATGACGAGGAGTCCTCCGCTAACTGTGCCATTTATCGTCGGTCCCAGGCGCCCACATTTTCACATGTTGGCCCCGTGGACTCGAAGCTGCAGCTGCATGCCTTCCACACCGCGTTCGGCGATTCCAAGCTGGCCTCCTGACTTCGGTTTACCGCCCTTCCAGTGCTGCCAAAATCGAGCACCGAGATGCGAGCCCGCCGGCTACTTGACGATGATGTTCCTCATCTCACCGCTTACACGTCCCTGCCAGTGTCCTGGCTGCGGCTTCCTAGATTGAGCCGCATCGCACCCGAAGAGGTACGTTCAGGCCCAGCCACAGCGCGGCCTTGTGTGGGAGTGCCACGCCGATTGGCTCACCGAGCCTGTGTGCGCCGCCGTTCCAGGGCAGCAGACCTGACAGGGACACTGCCGTCCTCAAGCTGGGTTGCGGCGGCTACTCCCCGCCTTCCTGGTGGTCGAGGCGGCACGGGGATGCTCTGCCAGACAGGGATGCTCTGCCAGACAGCCCAGGCCGAGCTGCTCCGGCGGAGGCGCAGGGGGGGGCCGGGGGAACGCGGCCGCTCGTGCTGCTCCGAGGAGGCGCCCGGCGGCCGTGGCGGCGCACGCCGTCGGCGCGGTCACCGTGGCCCCCCTGCGGGGGACGCCTGCCCGACGGGCCCGGGGCAGCTGCCGGACGGGGGCGGAGCGTCCGGCGGGAGCGCCGCGCCCTCCGCACCGGGAGCGGGCCCGGGGTGGGCGCGACCTGCCCCGGCGGCGGCGGTGGCATGACGGTCAAGCGTTGGTTCTGGGGCGAGGGTGTCTATACTCGGGGGCGGAAAAGAGGGGGGTGATGACTAGGGGGGGGTGGATATCATGGCGGGGGCCATGATATTTCCCCAGATTTTATGGCGCCTCTTCTTGTTTCATTACGTCCCTGGCCCCCCCGCTGGGCCGCGCACATGCCGCGGGTCATGATTTGCACCCCCCCCTCTTGGACACCCCCCTCTTGGCCGCTCCCGATATACGTGTCCAGCAGCGGTGCCTACGCCACGCCCTCCTGGCTTGGCCAGGAGCGCGTATGTACTCCAGATTTCGTAAAAAAAGGGAGGGGGTCTCAACCCTCCCAGACGAGAAGTTTTAGACCCCCCCCCCGTGGGAGAACCCTCCAAAACATCGTCCCCAGACCCCCCAGGCCCTCCAAGATAGCCCGGAAGAGACCTCCCCCGAAATGAGACCACCCTCCCTTTATTACGAAGTCTGGAGTACAGTTCCTTGGTCCAGGAAGGGCTCGGCCAGGGGGCGGTGGGTGTGTGCCGATTTCGACGCCCGATGCTGGCTCGTCGTGCTCATCAGCGGGATGTCGTGGCCTCCAGCTGGTATCTTGGTTCCTTCCTGCCTGCCTGCCTTCCTTCGCTCGCCGTTCTGACGGCAGCGCTCGTGAGCGAGCCGGGCGCACCTCAGCAGGTGGTCAGGTTGGAATTGCCAGCGTATTTGAACTTCAATGAAGGGCCCGTGAGCTTGTTGGCGGCATTAATTATGTTCGGCGCTGAGGGACACTGTTGCCTGGCAGGGGTCGTGTGGTCCCTTCGAGCCACCTGTATGCGCGATCGTGACGGGGCTCGCGCTGCTCAGGCTCTTGGTAATACTTGCGCGTGGATTAGGGTCTAGCCGACGTGAGTACAGGCTCACTCGGTGCGGCGTTGCAGTGCCACTATCGGTGAAGTCTGACACTCGATACATGGGCGTGTGTCGTAAGGCCCTTGTGTTGTGTCCTTCGTTGGACAGCCGTGCGTCGTCTTACTTCTCACCCTCTAGTGGGACATGGGCGCCTTCTAGCACCCTTGTACTTCCCCCCCTGTTGCCGAACATGATGCTTCTCGTAGATTGAGGCTTCTTCCCAGCAGCATCCACACCGTTGTCCCTAAACCGTGTTTGCCCTCGTTTTTTTCTCCGTTGGTTTGGTACGCAGGTGTCCCATAGGGTGCCAGCCTTGATTTTCACGGTGGCCCACAGGTTCCTGTCCATCGGCTCATAGGGTCTCGGATTCGTCATAGGTCGCCCATAGACTCATGGTCGCTTATGGGATTCCGCCCGCTCGCCTTGACTTCACCTGTGCGTCGGGTTTCGCGTTGGCTCATGGCCCTGCCCCTTAGGGTCCTGGCATGAGGTATCCTTGGGTGATCGCTGTCGCGGTGGTGAGCAGATTCCCGCCCAAGGAGTGCCCGCCCTGGTTTCCCTTGTGTGTCTGGGTTCCCGGCGGCGCAAACAGCCTTGCCCGTGGGGTCCGAATCTCGGAGCGTGAACTACCTACCCCGCTTTCGCTTCCAGGCAAAACCAAGTCATACCACGCGCCCCCTCGTCAAGCGGCCTGACCAGTACTGGCCAGAGTTCGGCATCGCTCGGTATCTCTTGGAAGCGAGGGTGGTCAGAAGCGAGGTAGGCTTGTGTTTTCCCCCTCAGAATCGTGGTTGCCCTGGCGTGTTGGGGCTCGTGGCCCGCGGGGGCCCGCTCGTCTGGCATGGCCGAGACGCTGACAGAAGTCAGGAGAGGAAAAAACACACAGACACAATTAATCGTCGATTCCCAGGAAAATATGAGAAAATATGGGAAGTGGGGGGGAAGACAGGAACCCAGAAAATATGGGAAAACATGGAGGATATGTTTATTTGTGTGTATTTATTTGTGTGTTCCAGTTCCCCTTCAAGAAGGACCTTGCTGTCTCCTGGGGAGGCTCCGGCGTGCGCGCCGTCCCTGCGGCATCGGTGAGGGGGAGAGCCGGCTCGTGGCCGAGGCCCGCCGTGGCGAGGAAGCCCCGCTCGCTCCTGCATCACACTGCCGGCTGGTAGCACAAGGGCCGTACACCTTAGGCGATGCTTAAGAAAACTTACGTTTTCGGCCAGAGTCTCGATTATTCTTAATGTTTCAATGTAAATCCTACGATTGTGATAGAAGCTTTCTGGGTTTTTATTCAAATTCTGAGACTCTGAATTTCTTAACCCATGATTCCTTAAGCATTTCGCAGGGTGTACAGCGCCGTTTTTTATACATGCTCCGCGTGCGGACCATGTATTGAAAAGTGCAGGGATTGAGTATGAACAACAACGAGGAGTTCATGCATCAAAAATTATTCATACATTAATCGTGTATAAACATCCTATATTTAAAGATCCAAGGTATTAAAACTTGCCCTGTACCGGCCGTACGTCGCTGCCTACGTGTGCTGTGTTTCGTGTGCCCCGGCCTTGCATGCCCGCGGGGTGTTCTCGGGGGCGGCCAAGAGGGGGGTGACGACTAGGGGGGGGGATATCATGGCATGGGTCCTCAGATGTCATGGCGCCTCTTCTTATCTCATTACGTCCCTGACCCCCCTCTTGGGCCGCGCGTATGCCGCCGGCAATGCTTTGCGCCCCCCCCCCCCCCTCTTGGGCGCCTCCCTCTTGGCCGCCCCCGATGTTAGTGGTGGCCCGGGAGGTCCTGCCGTGAGGTGCCCAGTCGTGTTGTGTGTCCTGGTGGCCCCACCGGGTCTGGCCACGCCTATGGTAGCATCGGGGCCCAGTCTTTATTGTTTCTTTGTTTTTGGGCTTTGCACAGGCCCAGAGGGTTTCACCCATTGAGGGCCAGCTCTGATTGCGTTGTTCGCCGCATTGCCAGCATCATGAGTGTACGGCATCGGAGATCTCATCGATTTCGGATTCCTTCGCGCGTCAAAGTTGGACTCAGTGACAGATCATTGAGTGGTTTAAAAGAGGATCAGATGGAGGAGGGAGGAGGCGGAGGCTGGGGATCATGGCAAGCAGGAGGACGCGGTAGAGAGGTCGGGGAGGATGAGGAGGAGACATGTGGACTAGATGGTGGTTGGGGAAGGAGACAGATATGTCGAGGAGAAAGGGAACGCGATGAGACAGGAGGCGGAGTAGGAGGTGCCTTCTCTCTGTGATTCCGTCGCTTCGTGGGGGTGCCCGTCCAGAGCGCGGAAAGTTTGTGCATGATGGAGTGTGTTGGGAGCCTCTGGGGGAGATATATTGTCTGTTGGAGTCCTCTCGGGGGCCTCGTGAGGGCCTCTTGGGCCCTCGAAGGGGGGAGGCCCTCAGGGCCCCGTCGGGGGGCCTCCTGAGCCGTCTCAGCGCGCTCTTTTTGCCATTTGACGCCCTCGGATCCTCAGGGCCTTCTTGAGGCCCTCTCTAGGCTCAGGAGGGAAAAAACACACAGACACAATGAATCGTCGATTCCCCCGAAAATATGGGAAAATATGGGAAGTGGCGGGGAAGGCAAAAATTTACAAAATGTACGAAAATATTGGGAATCCTGTTATTTGTCTGTATTTTTTGTGTGTCCCAGGGCCCCTTCATAGGTCCGTGCTGGGAGGCCGCATGAGTAGTTGACGTGGGAAAGAGCGCGTTCTGTGGTCGCTTGGAGGGGGGTGCGTTGGGAACCCTCCCCCCCTGGATGGAAGGGGGGGGGGGTTCGAGCGCCCCCCCCCCCTCCCGTCCGTGACGGAGGGGGTGGGGATTCGAACCCCCCCTTTCCTCCCCTACTTCTCCTCTCTCCCTCTCCTCGGGCCGGCGCCTGCGTCGGCGGCGGCTGGCGGCGGCGGCGGGGACGACTATTTCTTTTTCTGGGCTGGCGCCGGCGCCTGCGGCGGCGAGCGGCGGCGGCGGGGAGCGTCGACGAGGACGACGGTGGTGGTGGTGGTGGGTTGTGGTGGTGGTGGTGGCGGTGGTGGTGGTTGTGGTGGTGTTGGTATTTGTGGTTTGTTGTGGTGGTGGTGGGTGTGGTGGTGGGTGGTGCTGGTGGTGGTGCTGGTGCTGGTGCTGGTGTTGGTGCTGGTGCTGGTGCTGGTAGTGGTTTTGTGGTGGTCAGGTGGTGGTGTGGTGGTTGTTTGTGGTGGTGGTGGTGGTGGGTTGTGGTGGTGGCGGTGGTTTGTATAGGTGGTGCTGGTGATGGTTGTGGTGGCGGTGGTGATGGCGGTGGTGGTGTGGTGGTTTGCGGTGGTGGTGGGTTGTGGTGGCGGTGGTGGTGGTTGTGGCGCTGGTGCTGGTGGTTGTGGTAGATTGTGGTGGTGGTGGTGGTAGTGGTGGTGAGTTTTTGTGGTGGTGTGGTGATGGTGAGTTGTGGTGGTGGCGATTGTTGCTGTGGTGGTGGTGGCTGTGGTGGTGGTGGTGGTGGCTGTGGTGGTGGTGGTGTTGGTGGTCGTTTGGTGGGTTGGTGGTGCTGGTGGTGGATTGAGGCGGTGGTGGCGGTAGTGGTGGTAATCGTCGCTGCGTCCTCGCCGTCGCTGGCGCCAGCGCTGGCGCTGCTGGCCGCCGCCAGCGCCAGCGCCGGCGCCGGCACCAGGGGGGGGGGTTGAACCCCACTTTGGGCTGCCTCTGGCCATCGTCGCTGCGCCCCCGCCGTCGGCGCTTGCTGGCGGCCGCCAGCGCCGGCGCCGGCGCCGGCGCCGAAGGGGGGGGTTGTCCGACGGGGGTGTTCGGGATGAGGGGCCTATCCCCCGTTTTGAACGCGCCGCTGGAAGTTCCCAAGGCAAGAACCCGTGAAACGCGCCCTCTCTCTGACGTCGACAGGCTGGGCTGCCTCTGGCCTGGACGCCCTCCGCCGAAGGCGGGCAAAACAGGCAGGGCGGGATCCGAGGCACAGCCACGGCGGCTCCGGGCGGGCACCCTGCGTCAAACGACTCCTGGCAGGGCGGCCACGGCCGAGGAGGAGGCTGCAAGCTGCCCGACACTTCGGGGCCCCCGTCGGTGCGGGGTTGCGGCAAGTGGGCAAGCCTAGATCGTCACCGGCGGCCGACATGCCAGCCGCAGTCTTATGAAGGGGGCACGCGTTGGTTCGGGACGATCGACATGGGTACGGGAAAATTGGGTACGAAGTCCGACAGTAGTCCGTGCCCATTTCGAACAAAGGTTGTTGTTGGTGCCGACGCTTGCCTTGTTCATTTGAGGCAGAAGGCCGCCTGCCCAACAGCGGCCGGTGTCAGTTTTGGACAACATTTGTTGTTTCGCATCGTATTTTTTGTTCCCGTAGTCATTTGGGTCGTCCACACTGGTGCCATGCGAACTCGCCCGTGCAATCGTGGATTGGGGTGGACCACCAAGGAAGAGGCTGACGACGGACACGAGCCCCGTCCTCGGGGGCCGTCGCGGGATCTTTTGGGCAGACTTGAGACGCTATGTGGGGCTTCTTGAGCCGTCGTAGGTTCCCAAAATGCCACATAAAGCGGGAACGTTAAGTTTTGTCGAAGACCAAACGGATATGATTCAGTCGTGCTCCTGGAGGCTCTCATGGGAGCCTGTTTGAAGTCCTTTTGGAGCGTTGTTGTGCCTCTGTGGCCGCTTTCAGGGCGTCTTGGGTTGTCTTGAAGCCCTCGGGAACCCCCAAGTCTAAGAAGCCGAAGGGGCAAACCGCAATCATGTTTAGTTGCTTCGATGTAGCTGAGGACAAAAAGGCGGCCGTCAGGAAAGGTCGGCGGATGTGACGTGGCGCCAGTGGGGAGGGTTTAAGGGAGGTTGCTTCACAAGAGAGATACTTGCGCATATTAAGTCGTAGTTCTTGGCAGGACTGGTACCACTCAAAATATTGCTTTAGTTGCTTCGCGAACTTGCCTCCGGCAACACGTCGCTTCCAGCGGTGGGTTCTCGTTGTTTTCCTGCCTCGCGCAGTTGGTGGGCCAGATGCTGCTCGCTCATGGCCTCACGGGGGGAAACTGACGTGGGTTTCTGGGAGGGAGGAAGGGGGAGAGATGGCTTGGTTGGCGTGGTCGATCCATCAACGCTCATTGGCTTCAGAGGCGCAAACGTATCGGAGGATGAGCGAGCGGCGCGTGAAGCCCAGACCCCCGACGTCATGAATTTTTCATGACGTCGACCCCCAGAGGTCCAGACCCATTCCCCGGGACCGGTTTTTCGTCCTGAGTCGTTTTTTGACGGTCCCGAGGGCCGGTAAGGGCCCCCAGAGGCCGAAAATCATGAAAAACCTCGCGTCGTGATTTTTTCATAACTCGAGGGGGTCTGGGAGGGCAGCCCACAGATGGATTGTCATTGTCGCCCGTTTTCCAGCGCTCGCCCACGCGGTCAATGGCCATGTCTCGGGCATGGTGTTGTGTGTGGATCGCACTGTCTTGGCCTGCGGCGCAGGCCACACTCCTGGCGGAGGAGATCGAGGACCATGTCCCGTACACTGCTCGTCTTTCCGTTGTGCGCACGCCTGTCGTTTCTCTCAATGGGTCCGTATTGTGGGGCGACGAGATCTATGCATATCCACTGCTCCTGGCCAGGCCCATCCTGGGCCCAGGAGCGGTGTATATGCCTCCCTGGCCAAGCCAGGAGGGCGTATACACAGCTCTTGGGCCCAGGATTGGCCTGGCCGGGAGCAGTGGATATGTATAGATATCGTCGCCCTATATTGTTGCTTGCCTTCGTGAATGCGTACATTTAGGTTTGGTCATCTGTTTCTGAATGGATTCGGGTGGCGTGGGTCATCCAGTGAGAATGTACGGCCTTGGCCTCCAACGAGTGCATGTCGCTTTGTATGCACTGTGGTAAGTTTATCGAGGTTGCATGCGTGATGAAAGTAATGATGCAATGTGTATACCGCTGCACTAGGAACGGCAAGCTTGGATGTCTCCCGTGGTTGTTTTCGTGCGGCAGGACGCAAATGAGATGGTGGCCACCTTGGAAGAGCACATGAAGGTGCCGATTATGCTCATGCGCGTTGAGTCAAGTGAATGTGCGAAGCGTACCAGACGTGCGATGGCTGGGATCGGCGCATAGGCATCAGCTTGAATTTGGTTCATACGCATGCTTTTACCCATCAAAGTCGCAACGTCGACCTGTAGTAATATCCTCGACTTATACAGGACGATTTTGTAATTTGATTCTAAACGTTCCGCGTTTGCCCAGCAGTTTGGCCCGGCCGGCTCGTGCTGCGCTCAGTAGCTAATTAGGTTGCCCCGTCGGCCCGGACAGTTTCTCTCGCCGCCTGCGCGCTCGCTGGTGGCCGCGACCAAAAAAGTTTCCCCAGCAGCCCATCCGCGATCAGTGTCTCCCTCGCTTTTCGTGAGGCTTCATGCTCAAACACGTTAACTGGTATGGTATGGTGTCATTTGGGAGCGTGTTGTCGCATCTGACATAATCGGCGGACAGGCATGTGTGCCGATCTGGTCTGCACGACATGGCCTCATCGGCTCTCGTCCCCCGCCATCGAAGGCTCCATCCTCATTGTATTCATGTCTCATATGTTACTCCTGCCTCAGTTTTTCTTAACTCATTCTACACATAGTCCTCGCCTACCGCGTGAGCTTAGTCATTCCACCCACGTGTCCGCAGTCCGCGATGGGCACACCTGTGGACACGTGGCATTCTCCCGTGCTCTGTTCTGTTCAAGCCTGTCTCCTCCGTTTTGACTTGGTCGCGGGCGGGTCGCGGGTGGGTCGCGGGTGGGTCGCCGCTGGGTCGCCGCTGGGTCGTGGGTGTGTCACGAGTGGGTCGTGGGTGGGTCGTGAGTGGGTCGCGGGTGGGTCGCGGGTGGGTCGCGGGCGGGTCGCGAGTGGGACGACGACGTTAACAACATCAACAACAGCGCAACAACAATCCGCATCGCGCACCCCCATTTCAGCCACGCACCCAGGGACAGTGAATGACCGTTCGGCCCCTTCACTCTGATGTCAGCATTGTGTGGTGTGACCTGGTCCCGTGTGGTCCAGTATTGGGGACGATCGAGAGAAGCGGGTGAAATAGTCACGCCATATTGAAAGCAATGTGGCATCATTATTGGGAGTGTTGCCTTTTTAGATGCACATTTGGTCGTATTGTGGGTGTCTCGGGCATATGCGCTCGTCTTGGGGGCCTTGGAGTTTGGAGGCGTTGGAGTCTTTTGGGAGTTTCTTTGGATGCCTCCTGACGTCGCTGGGGCATATTAGGCCGTCTTGGCTGTCTCCCTGGGCCCGTACTGGTCGTATTGAGGGCCTTGTGGTTGTTCCCTTGGCAGACTAAGGGCTTCTTAGACCATCTTGGACGCCTCCTTGCGGCCTCTAGAGATGTGTTGGGGGAATTTTGAGTCATCTTGCGAGCCGCTTGAAGACTCTTCGGGCTGTATTGGGGGCCTCTCGGGTGCATTGGCACCTCTTGGGAGCAGGTTGGGGTATCTTGGGGCTCTGTTGGGAGCCTCGTGGGAGCTGTCGTGGGGGGCTCTTGGGAGCGTCTTGGACGCCTTGAGCCGGCTCGGGAGCCTTTTGGGATCACGTGGGGGTCTGAGGTTGGGGTGTCTGAACGTGTCGATCTGGCAGGGTCATCTTGGAGGCCAGAAAGGACAAACATTGTGTTCCCTTGGGGCTTCGTAAGGTCAGCGCATTCAGCCTTCGACACGCATACTGAAGCTCTGGGACCTAGATACCCGCCGAATTTGGATTCGGTTCGGATTGAATGCATCATCATGCTCAGGAGTCGTTGTCTCACAGTCCGAGTGGGTATTCCAACGCGTGGCCTGGACCATTTGGGAGCCCTGAAGCTATTGCTCATGCACGGCCCGCTGCCACAAACATGTGTTGTGACTTCTGCTCGCATGCCAACAGGAGGCGACGGAGATCCGCCAGGCTAGCCGGTCGAGCTCTCTGCCTTGGCGTCAGGGCCGCCATGCTGTCTGCGCGAGCGGCAGGGAGGCAGAGGACAGGAAGGCCATGGTGGCCCGGGTGCGAAAGGGGCTGTGCCGCCCGACCTTTCGTCTACATGCCCCAGTTACGTGGGCCAAGAGTGGCTGCGTTGCCCCTCCCCCTCCCTCCCTCCCTCCCCTCCCCTCCCCTCCCCTCCCTCCCCTGCCTCCACTGCCTTTCGACTGGATGCCCCAGTTACGTGGGCCAAGAGTGGCCGCGTTGCCCCTCCCCCTCCCTCCCCTGCCTCGCGGTCATGTTGGAGGGTACTCAGCTGCGGCCTCGGCCTCGCACGTGAAAAGGGGGCACTACAACCACCCAGCGAGGCCAGCGATAAGCGACGCTGAGTGAGGATGACAGGCCTTGCATCGCTCGGACGTGTGCATTTTTTCTCGGCGAGAACCATCAAGGACCATCCTGGACCATCGAGCAAAAAAAACACGCACGGAACCGAAACATGCACGCGAAATGGACGTCCGAGCGATGGCAAGCAGGTGCGCGGAGGGGAGCACCGCATGGTGCACGAGGGTGGTACGTGGGGGCACCTAAAGCGCGAGCTCCCCGACGCACCTCTCGAGCCAAGGCGGGGACGGAGCGGGCAGGGCTGTGTGTGCCCAGTGCGGTGCTGGTGGACGCGCTCGCGGGAGCCCCTCCCCCTTGGCATCGCTCGGCCGTGTGCATTCGTCCTTCGGCGAGGACCCTCGAGGAGCATCCTTGATCACTTGGCGAAAAAAGCACGCACGAAGCCGGAAAAAAAAAAACACACAGGGAATGGACGCCCGAGCGATGGCGAGCCCCTTGCGCCCCCTCGCAGCCCCTCTCTTGCCACCTTCAGCGCACCTGCCCTCCCCGCACGCACCTTGTGTCCATCCTCCCCAGCGCGGCCGGCCTGCCTCCATATCCTGCCGGCCTGCGCCCTGCCTGCCTGCGTCCTGCCTCTGCGTGCTGCCAGCCTGCGCACGCGAGGCCGGCTCGAAGGAGAATGCGGCGGCTGTGGAGGAGCGAACAGCCTTCCGGCTTTTTTGGCAGCGGCGTTTGTGAGCAATGATGCATGGCTTGCGTTTGAACAAGCACGTCAGTGTACAATGTTCATGTGTCTGGCAGAGTCAAGTCATGTTACAAGGCATCGAGGCTCGACATGGAAGTCGCGCGCACACTCGCGTGGGTGTGAGCACTCGGACCACCCATGGACATGATGGGCATGAGTGCAAATCTGGACAAGTTGCGTACCCTTGCAATTCCATTCCACGAAGGTGCCAGTGCGTTGCTATGCATGTATCACGGTTTGATTGGATGGGGTGATGACCAAGCCATGCCTCTCGACACCCCCACAGGTTCCCAGACATCCAGGGTCTAATTTTTTCCGAGACGGACACCCGCCCTCTCGGCCACTTCCCCGGGACCAGTCTTTCATCCCGAATCGTTGTTTGACGGTCCCGTGGCCCTGTAAGTGCCCCGGGAGGCAGAAAGCTAAGAAAGACTTCCGTCTAGATTTGTTCGCGACGCCGGATGTCTGGGTTCTTGGGCACGTCCCGGCGCCCACGCAGCCTGCTCCCTCGGGGAGCATTTGGCAGCACGGCGACAGGGGCGGGCGAGGCGGCTTGCGGCCTCCAGCCCCGCTCAGGACGCCAAGGACGCCCAGACAGCCATCGCGCAGGCCACTCGGTGGCAGCCCGCGCTTCGTCGGGGTCGTCGTCGTCGTCGCCGTCGTCGTCGCCGTCGTCGTCGTCGTCGTCGTCGTCGGCGTCGGCGTCGGCGTTGACGCCGGCTTCGGCGTCGGCGTCGGCGTCGGCGTCGTCGTCGGCGCCGTCGTTGTCGTCGGCCTCGTCTTCCCTGCGACCGGGCCGATGACGACGACCATCCCCTTGCCCTGTCTTCGTTTCGGCGGCGAGGGTGGAGGCCTGTCCGACCCATCAGGGGCATCGTCAGGGGGGATGACATCGACCCCAAATCGCCCACTCATTCCGCTATCGTGCGGCGTATCGCCGATCTATCGGCGATGTGTCTCCGACTCTGGCTCGATGGTTTTCCCTCCGAATCCTGAGCCGATTTCCTCCAACATTTCCTCGGACTCGGCCTCAAGGGGTCAGCAGTCCAGTGCGCGCTCAACGTGCACTGGCGCAGGCCCCCTTCGCGCGAGAGGGGCCCACGGAACTCCACCCCCTGGGGGGCCGATGACGTAAGACGACCGCTGGGTGGGGGCCAGCGAACGAGGAAAGCGCAGCTGAGCCCCGGAGCAGCCTGCGGGGCCCTCCGGAGGTGCCTCCACGCTTGCGAGGCGGCTCGGTTCGCTCGGCTTTGCTCTTTCGCTGGGTCTCGGTCAGAGAGGGGGCCGGGGGGAGGTGGGAGGGGGAGGCGAAGGCGAGGGAGAGCAGGGGGAGGCACAGCGAGACTCGAGGAGCAGGAGGAGGAGGCGGAGGAGGAGGAGGAGGAGGAGGAGGAGGAGGAGCAGGAGGAGGACGAGGACGAGGACGAGGAGGAGGAGGAGGAGGAGGAGGAGGAGGAGGAGGAGGAGTGGGACGAGGAGGAGGAGGTGGAGGAGGTGGAGGAGGTGGAGTGAGGGGCGAGAGGAGGGAGGCGCCTCATCCCTCTGCCCCCCCGCGTGAAGCAGAGCAGCTCCTCCTCCCCGCGGGCGGGCGGCGAGATGAGGCCCCCCGACTCTGACGCGGCGCGGCAGCCCCGCCCAGCCTCGGGCCCGTCCTGGGCGACAGAGGCTCGACGCGCTCAGCACGATCCGACGACGCGCCCCGAGAGAGGAGGGCCCCGGCCTCCTCCTCCTCCTCCTCCTCCTCCTGCTCCTGCTCCTCCTCCTCCTCCTCCTTCTCCTCCTCCTCCTCCTCCTCCTCCTGCTCCTCCTCCTGCTCCTCCTCCTTCTCCTCCTCCTCCTCCTCCTCCGCCTCCTCCTCCTTTCCAGGGATGCATTGGCCCGGGCTGGCGCGCAGGATCCTGCAGGACCTTGCAGAGCCCGGCTGGCCCGTGCTGGCATCGGCGTCCGGGCCAAGGGCCAAGCGCTTCCCCGAGTTGGGGAGCGAGGCGGGTGGCCCTTTTCGGGGGCGGAAAAGAGGGGGGTGATGACTAGGGGGGGTGGATATCATGGCGGGGGCCATGATATTTCCCCAGATTTCATGGCGCCTCTTCTTGTTTCATTACGTCCCTGGCCCCCCCCGCTGGGCCGCGCACATGCCGCCGGTCATGATTTGCACCCCCCCCCCCCTTGGACACCCCCCTCTTGGCCGCTCCCGAGAGGAGGCGGGAGCAGGCTTCCCAGAGGGGCTCGGCGGTCGGATTCGCCTCGAGGTTCTGGTCAGAGTGCGCCCTTGGGCGAGGTCCGGGGAGTAGCGGCCTCGGACAGCGGTGCTTGTTTTTGCCCCCCCCCCCCCCCAGTACGAGGTCCCCCGGCGTCTTGCAAGCCTCCCGCCTTCCAGGAAAAGGCCGCCGCTCTCTCGCCAGCCACCCCCTTGCGCGCGCGCGCTGCCGAGAAAGAGCGGGAAGAGCGGGGAGAGTTGAGGTTGGGGATGTGGTGCCGTCCAGCGATTGTTCTTCGCATGCCTCGTTGGGTTATGTTTTTCTTCCCTCCCGCGCCGCATCCGCGTCTCCTCTCTCACACACACACATGCACACCTCTTCCCCCTCTCCCTCTCCTTCTCCCGTGCACGCGCGCGCGCGCATCGGACAATCAGACAATCAGACACACGCGCGCGCGCAACATGCAATCGCACGCGCATGCACAGAGCACGTGCGCGCAACACATGCACACGGCACACATTCAGCACACATTCAGCACACATATGCACAGCACATAATTACACCATACGCAGGTAGGAGCAGGACGGCACTCTGGCGCACAGCCGAGCACACGCACCCCATACGACGCTTGTACAGACCTGGCGTGTTGATTGCATACACCCCAGGCGTATGCACCACGTATTTGGGCGTGTACATGACAGACACGTCCATATACAGCCGCCCTCAACGGAGCACTCTTGTCACCGCAGGGGGGGCGCAGTGGACTGGGTCGCTATGCGTGCAAGGATCCGAAAGAGTGGCAGGCGTCACAGATTATCCACACAGCAGGGTGTGCGTAGGGGGTGGGGTCGCTATGCGTACCAGGGTCGGAAGGTGTGGCAGGCGTGGCACATTCTCCGCACCTCAAAGGGTGCGCAGGTGGTGGGGTCGCCATGCGTGCCATCCTTGATACCATAGAGGGTGCGCTGGGGGGGGGATCTCTATCCGTTTCGGATTCGCAAGGGCAGGCGGGGCATGTCCTCCACACCACAGGGGGCGCGCTGGGGGTGGGAACGCTATCCGTTTCGGGTACGCAAGTCGTGGCAGGCGTAGCAAACACTTCCTCGACACCACAAGGGGCGCGCTTGGGGTGGGAGCGCCATCCGTTTCGGATTCGCAAGTTGGGGCAGGCGGGGCATGTCCTCGACACCACAGGGGGCGCGCTGGGTGTGGGAACGCTATCCGTTTCGGATTCGCAAGCGTGGCAGGCGTAGCAAACACTTCCTCGACACCACGAGGGGCGCGCTGGGGGTGGGAGCGCTATCCGTTTCGGGTTCGCAGGGTGTGGCAGGCGTGGCACTTCCTCGACACCACAGGGGATTTGCTAGGGGTGGGGGCGGTCTCCGTTTCGGGCTCTCAGGGCGTGGCAGGCGTGGTATTTCCTCAAGACCACCGGGGTGCGCTAGGGTTGGAAGCGCTATCAGTTCTGGGCTCGCCAAGCGTGGCAGGCGTGGCACTTCCTTGACAACACAGGGGCCGCGCTGGGGTTGGGAACGCTGTCTTTTTCTGGCTCTTAAGGCGTGTCAGTTGTGGCTCTTCGTCGAAACCACATGGGGTGCGCTGGTGGTGTGAGCGCCATCCGTTTCGGATTCGCATGGCGGGGCAGGCGGGGCATGTCCACCTCGGCACCACAGGTGGTGCGCTGGAGGTGGGAGCGCGTTCCGTTTCGGGCCCTTCAGGCGTGGCAGGCGTAGCATTTTTTTCTCGACACCATGTGGGGTTCGCTGTGGTGAGGGCGCTATCTGTCTCGGGCTCGTAGAGCGTGGCAGGCGCGGCACGTCCTCGACACCACGAGGGCCGCGCTGGTGGCGGGAGCGCCTGCGGCGGGTAGTGCTCCAGCCCCGTATTTCCGAGGACAAAAGTTCGAGTGGCGGTTGCGTCGTGTCGACCAGCGGCGACCCCAGCGCGGGCGTTCAAGGTTGAACGCCGCCGGCGACCCAGAATCGATCGATGTTGAACGATCGGACGTTGCGGCAGCGGCCGATCGTTCAAAGTTGAATGATCCCTGCGGTGTCAAAAACCAACGCTGCGGTCGGCACGACACGAACCTGCCGTAGCGTAACATGTGATCGAGCTGCGTATCCGTGTATCCGTGGCATGCAACTCCTCGGCCGTCTTGAGTTTCATTTGGGGTCGTCGGAGGCCATCTTGGGGCAGAGTAGGAGGATGAAGGAAATGGTGATGTGGAGGGGGAGGTAATGAGGAAGGCAGGGGAAGAGCAGAAGGAGGAGGAACGCAGGAGTGAGAAGTGCCAGGAAGACTAGCAGGATGAGGAGGAGGAGGAGGACGAGGTGCATCGCAGTGGGCGAGCGAGGTGTGGCACACCATGATGGTGATGATTTCCAGGAGGATTTCAGTTTGGGCCGTCTCGGGGCCGTCGCTGGCTCCCGTGGGGCCATTTGTATGTCCTTGGGGGGCCCCTGAGCCGAGTTGGGGTGCGCCTGCGCCGTCGGTGTGCCTTTGGTCCGTCCGGGATGCCTCCCGGGGCCGTGTTGGGCCGCCGAGACGCTGACTCTCTACGTCTGTATTGGGCAGTTTGGGGCTCTCTCGGGGCCGTCTGCGAGCCCTCTTGGGCCGTCATGAGGCCGTCTGGGAGGATGGATGGCCATGGGTGGGTCCTTGTCGGCTGTCGTGGGGACACACTGGAGGTCTCTAGGACGGTCCTCAGCTGGGGGAAGCCCAGAGACTGGAGACGCGACAGCATTCGAAGCACGTACGGTGTTGGTTTCTTTCGGGTCTTTCCTCCTGTGGCTCTCTTGGTCCGTCTTGCGGGTCTCTTGGGCCATCTCGAGGCCATCTTGAGGCCATCGTGGGTCCATCTTGGAGGCGTCTTGGGGCATCGGGGTGGCCTGCCTCGGCCGTCGTTCAAGATCGTCAGTTCGGAGCAATCTGTTTGTGCAAGGGATCGTGGCCTCTGGAGCGCGGGTCCGTCGTGTATTGGGGATCTTTTGTGCTGCTTTTGGGCCCTCTCGGGCCGTGTCGGGGTCGTCTTGGCGGATTGTTTGGCCATTTGCGGGTCCTCGTGGGCTGGCTTGGGGCCATCGTGGAGGATTTCTGGGCAGTTTGGAGGTGAGGTAATCCCGAAAAGGTGAAGACGTCTAAACGTATCAAATCCGGAGGGACGTCAACGAGTTTGGCTTCATCAGGCTGTACTGGGGGTCCTCGGGTGGTTCTCTTGAGCTTTCTGTGGGGCCTCTTGTGTCGTCTTGGGACAGATTGCCGCCTTTGGGCCGTCTTGAGCCGCCTTGGAGGTATGTTTGGCCATCATGGTGGACTTGCTTGCCTGCCTCGGTCGTATTGGAAGCTTGGCAGCGCAGAACAATAGCTAGTTGATACGGAGCGTGATCTCGGGAGCGCGGATTCATAATGTTTTTGTTCAGGGATCGTGGATTCGGGAGCTTGGACCCACTGTTTATTATTAGGAGGTTGGCTTTAGGAGCGCAGACCCATAGAATTGACTACGCATCTTGGCTTTGGGGGGGGGTCCCTTAGAAAAGGTTCAGAAACTCTACCAGGCAGCACTTGGCATTCTACCACGACTCAACTTGCCAGGGGCCACGGTGGCAAATTGCGAATTTAAAGTGGTCAGGCATTCAAGTAGTGGCACGTGTCCGATTGCGCAGTATATTGCCCCAAGTTCATTATCGTGCGTCCTACACGTGCAGTTGTGCAGGCTGGTACGGAAGAGGGTTGGCCCACAGGCCACTGCGGTGCTCGAGGCGTACTACAAGGACCTGTTGCATGATCGCCGTCCTTCGTACGAGTGGCGTTTGCGTCGCCTTAGCTTCAACGGTCACCATTGCGTTCTGCGCAACCGGGCTCCTTCTCAGTCGTTGCAAGCTGGAAGCCTTTCACCTGCTGAGTGTGCCCATGAGGGGCAATTCGAACTCCGACAGTTTCTGGTGCTTGCGGTTTGCAGCCGAAGACCGTTGGGAGAATGCAGTATAATCATATCCTTTGAATCGTCAGCAGCAGGCCCAGACAATTGTTCGACGACTGCATGCCATACTTTTCGTGATTTGGTAAGACTGTTCCTGAAGGGGTGCATGGGGGAGTGATGGCGGGAGGTGAAGGGTGTTGCGAGGGTGGGGGAGGGTCTACATACTCGCGGCCCTCTCTGTCGACAGTTCCATGGATGGGGTTGGGGAGAGGAGAGAAACCCCGTCCCGAAGAGGAAGAAGGGGGGCGGGAGAGAGAATTGCCCAAACTATTTGTCGCCAGAAGGTCAGTGGGATTCCAAACGCATCGCGTATCTCCACCATAGCCTGTGGAGGCTTGGCCAAGCCATCTTGGGGCTCGGGATCTCTTGGGGCCACTTTAAAGTGCCCTTGAGGCCCTGGTGGGGCCCAACAAACGTTGTGGGTCCTTAAGACTTGCCCTTTTGGGAGCCCAGCTACTTGCATTCTGGCACCCTCCTAGGGCTGTGTTGATGTTCTTGGGAGCTTTCGGGGGGACCTCTAGAAGCCTTTCTGGTCAACTCTCGGGAAGACCTCGGGGGCCACGTCAGGGCTAGTTGGGACCGTCTCTGGGCTGCCTGCCGCCATGTTGGAAGTCAATGTGGGTCACCTTGTGCAACCTTGGAGGCCATGCAGGGCTACATATCAGAATTCATCGTGGAGCCGTCTCCGGCGGTCTGAATCCCTGCGCGTTTTTATTTCTCTGGACCTCCCGAGAGGAGGAAGGTTTTATTCCTGGAAGAGTTGATCCCCTAAACCACCTACGTTCAGAGGGCTGGTGAGATTTATTGAACATTGAGTTTAACATGCCCCACTCATCTGCATGACAACCTTAATGTTTGCATAGCGACATCCATGCCAGCCTACAACCGTCTTTGCCCCATTGCTCTCGATTCATGCAAGTCATTTTGCCAACTTGTTGCTCCCATGCTACGATTGGTACTTGAGTGCAGGAGTCCGGCATGATCGGCTCAGAGGCCCCTTTTTGGCATGATTGTTGGCAGTTGTCGTTCGCAAGGGAGGCGACCACAGGAAGCACATACCGTCGAAGCGCCCATGACAGGTGTGTTCAAATCCCAGCTTACAACCACACAGATGGAATTGAAGAGATACGTTCAGACGTTGCTTGGGGAAACCCGGATGTCATCACTCGGCTAGTTGTTGGAGACGCCTGCGGTGGGTCACCGTTGCCTCCCTGCGTGTGCGAAAACCCAACGTTGTTGTGGCCGATGATCGATGTAATCCTCGATCTATTGTGGTTGAATCCTGATTCACCGAAGTGCTCTCGAGACGACTGCGAGCAGATGAGATGGAGGGTGAAACGCTGTCTTTGTTTTTTTTTGGGGGGGGGCTCTCTGGAGCGTTTTTGGGGGCCTTCCGGGGCTCTTTTGGGCCGTCTAAGGGGGCCCTCTTGGGCCCCCACCCATGGGATGGGTCGTGGTGTCCCTTGATTTCAGGAGGGAATAAACACACAGACACAATTCATCGTCGATTCCCCAGAAGATCTGGGAAAATATTGAGACTGGGGGAAGACAAACACCCAGAAAATATTGGAAAATATCGGGAGTCCGGTTTTTTGTGTGTATTTATTTGTGTGTCCCAGGGGCCCCTTCATGATTGTCTTGGAGCTCTCTTGGACCTTGGTGGGCCCCTCCGAGGGCCCTCGGGGGCGCCGTCGTGGACCAGTCGCGGGCCCGCCTCGGGCCGCCAGGGCCCCCCCTGGACCCTGGAGGCGGTCCCGGGTGTCTCTCGGGGCCGTCTTGGAGCCTCCGTTGGGTACTCGCTCGGCCGTTTCGGGGCTCGCTTGGGCCGTCTTGGGCCGCTCGTGGAAGCCTTTGGGGGCGTGCCGGTTTTTTCTAAGCCCAGCGTGGGCCGTCTCGGGGGGTCTCCTGGGGTTCTCTTGGGCCCTGCTGGTTTCTCTGTGGGGTGATCTTGGGGAGTCTCATCCTGGGCGTTCTGAAGCCCGATACACATGGGTGCACCTGGTGTTGTCTCGTAAGAGACCTCTAGTTGGAGCGTCTTGTGAGCGTTTGAGTCCGTCTTGGGGTCATCTTGCGCAGGAGTGGCTGCCTTCTTGGCCGCCTTGAGGACCAACGCCGGCCGTACTGGCGGGATCTCGAGGCCGTCTTCGACGTATTCTGCGGACTTCCAGGTATCGTGTAGGTCTTCTTTGCCCACAAAGCCAGGGGCGTCGGCTTGCGCCGAGGAGCCGTTGGGAAGCTTCTCGCAGGGACCAGCACTACAGTCTTCAAAGTCCAGTACGCCAAGCACCCCATTGGATCGATCGACAGTGCGGCGGATTGAAGACGCCTACAGTGCGGCAAATATGTACCGGCTCTTGCACGTGTGGAAGCGCAAGGCATGTAGGGTCGATGGTCGAGGCACAACTCGATTTACTGTGGTTGAATTCTGATTGCCCGAAGTGTTGTCAGGAAGGTTGAGGGGGCACACGCGGTCGAGAGTCAAGGGTTGCCTCGTTGCGTTTTGGCGGCCCTTCTGGGACCCCGTTTGGCGTTCTTGGCGGCCGCTTGGGGCCCTCTTGAGCCGCCTTGGGAGTGATTGAGATTGTCTTGAAGTTCTCTAGGGCTGTCTCGGGGCTATCTTAGGGCGTCTTAAGCCCCTCTTGAAAGCCTTCTCGATCGTGTTGGGGCCCTCTTGGTCCTATCTGAGGCCGTCTTGGAGCTCTCTTCGGGCCATCTTGGGGCCTTGTTGATACTTCTTTGGGTGATTTGTGGGGGTCTCCTGGAACATATTCGGCCTTCTAAAATGGGAACTGCGAGCATGGCCGAATTCATCCAAACCCAACAGTGTTTCCCAACCCTCCTGTGCAGGTGGGTCCTCGTTTCGAGTCCGCAGCGTCGCGCTCCACCTTACCTCCCCGTCGCTCCCTCCTCCCTCCCCCCTGCCCTCCGCATGCTCGTATCCGCAACTCCTGGTACGGATCGTACGCCCATTTCGGCACGCCCCTCAACGAGGGTGGTGGCCCCATAGGTAGCTACGCCTTCAGAGTTCATGACGCAGACCCCTCTCGAGGATCGTGGCCCCATAGGGAGCTGCATCTTCGTCAGGAGGGAAAAAAGCATAATCGTCGATTCCCAGGAAAATATGCGAAAATTTTGGAAATGGGGGTGGGAAAACGAACATCAAAAACAAAAACATGAACAATATCGGGAATCCTGTTATTTGTGTCTATTTATTTGTGTGTCCCTGGGCCCCTTGACTGCGGCCTCAGCGGGCGCAGTCCCCTCCTGCCCCCCCGCACTCCTCCCGGAACCGTGCGTGCGGGCACTGGCCACCTGGCCCCTCTCGCGCTGCTGCTTTTGTCCCCCCAGGTCAGGGCTGGACCTCAACGCTGTTCGGGCGATTCCGTGGGCCGCTTGCCTTTCGACCTCGTTTTTTGCGGTAGAGGCGACTCGGAGACAGAAAACGAGGGCAACCGAAGACAACACGAACACGGAACACGCCGCTTCGGCGCAGCCCCGCCCCAGGTGGTCGGGCCGTCGTGGCGACGGCCGTTCCTCGGCCCCCCCCCGTCTCCCCCCCCCCCCCTTGGCATCGCTCGGACGTGTGCATTTTTCCTTGGGCGAGAAACATCGAGGAGCGTCCTTGATCACGTGGCGAAAAAAGCACGCACGAAACCGACAACCAAAAAAAAGCACAGGGACTGGACGTCCGAGCGATGGCGAGCCCGTCTCCCCCCCCCGCCCCCCCCCCGAGGCCCCTCGGCCCCTCGCGGCGCGGCGAGGGGGGCGGGCGCGCAGCGCGCCGGCGGCCCGGCCGCCGGCCGCACCCCTATCCCGCCGCCTGACTCAGGCGCTGCTGCAGCGCCGGCACCGGGAGCCCGTCACCATCCCCGAGGCGCCCTATTCCTCCTCCCTCCTCCTCCCTCCTCCTCCTCCTCCTCCTCCTCCTCCTCCTCCTCCTCCTCCTCCTCCTCCTCCTCCCACTCCTCCCACTCCGCCGGCACCGGGAGCCCGTCACCATCCCCGAGGCGCTCTCTCTGGACGCCCGAAATGGGTACTGAAAGAATGGGTACTGTGCCCAACAGCGGATCTTGTTCATTTTGAACCAGATCCGCTGTCCACGCCGCCGCGGCTTGTGTCCATTCGAGACGGGAGGCCGCCCGCCCAACAGCGGCCGCTGTTGGTTTGGGACAAAACTTGTTGTTGGGCATTGTACCCATTCTTTCGGTACCCCTTTCGGGCGTCCAAACTCTCGGGCGGATGTGCAGGGGGGCCCGGGCGCGAGGGGGCACGGATTTTCAAAGGTTTGATCTCTTTCGATGTTGGAGTGAGAAACGGGGTTCTGTGTGAGTTTTTGGTCACTGTTCTTTGTATCTTTTTTTGTTTTGTTCGCCGCCGACGCGCACGCAGCACGCAGCACGCAGCACGCGCGAGATTGGGGCGCGCACTGGCGCACGGGCTCGGCGCCGTCTATATACGCCCACCGGCGCAGCGGCCGCGGGGGGGTGCGGGGCCGAGGCCGCACAGGCGAGCACACAGGCAGAGAGGAGGCGGACGAGGGGAGGCGGTGGCGGGGGCGGCAGGACCAGCACGCGCGCGGGCCGCGCAGCGAGGCCGGGCCGGCCGCCGTCGAAAGCATCAAGCAATAAGCGAGCAGGTTACAGTCAACCCGCGTAGTGAGGATAGGCACCCTTCGCAAGGGCACCCTTGCATCCTTGCTTCATCGGTCCATCCTTGGCCACTTTCGTTGGCCGCGCCCCGCTCGAAACGCTTCGAGATGGGCGTCCAAGGCCCTTGCATTCTTATCGCGCATCCTTACTCTACGGGTTGACTGTAGCACCAAGCAGTACAGTGGAGACCCATCCCAAGAAATACCCTGCATGCCTCCAGGGTGCCCTGGGTTCCTCGGGTTTCGATGGTTTTGCCATGAAAATAATGATGTTCCCACACCAAAAATCCATGTACGTCCTGGTGTCTCAGTGTTGGGTTTCTTGCGGAACGTTTCTTGTGGACAGGCTTCCATTGTAAGCGAGCCGCAGGCAAATTAAGGGTAAACGGGCCAGTGTGAGCGAGCAGGGCACGCAAACCAGGGAAGACTCGCGCGCTCACGCGCAGCACATGCTCGGGCGTGGACGAAGAGCCACAAGCATGTGTACCGTGGCACACATGCACATGTCGTTACGTCATTGCTCCAGCGGCTAGCGCGTTGCGCCGCGCCTTAGCTCTTGGCGCCTCCTCACAAACCGTATGGGCTCTGCATTGCAACGCCAGGTACAGCACAGAGAGTATCCCACCGCATAGTGAATTTAGCCAGAGGCTGCGATTCTGAGAGAAGCAGGGGGGACACGTGGTGTCGTGGAGAGAGAGAGAGAGAGAGAGAGACAGACAGACAGAGAGAGATAAAGAAAACAAAGAGAGAAAAAGAGAGAGAAAGAAAGAAAGCCAGTCTTCTCAGAGGAGCCCTCTACATGGGACGCAAGCTACACTGGCATCGCGGATCCGACCAACTCCGACGGTATCATCTCGGAGCCCCACTGCCGGGGGAGGAGAGGTACGAGGTTAGACCAGTGTTCTGCGCACAAGTTTTTGGGATTGTATGTTTTGGACAGGGGGCAGAAGGGTTGAAGGACATTGGGATCGGCCTGACAGCCGTCAGTCGGCAACAGCTGGTGATATGTCAGGGAGTTGTTCCAACACATAATCAAAAACGCCTACGGCAAACCACCGCCGCCCCCTTTTTTGGGACACGCCGATGTGGCCAAACGTTGGGCCAAATCCTGGCTCAGCCGGTGTGGAAACCCTTGGGGCTACATTCGGGGGAGCAGGAGAGAGAAATAGAGGATATTGAGGAGAATGATGATGATGGTGAGGAGGAGGAGGAGGAGGAGGAGGCCTCTAGGTGGCCTCTTGAGGCTCTATTGGGGCATCCTGGGGGCTTCCTGAGGTCCATTGACGGTCTCTGTGAGGCCTCTTGGCAGGTCTCTTTGGAGCCCCCTCGAGGCCTCTGTGGGCATCTTGGGGGCCCTTTGGGCCGTTCCAGAGCTCTATTGGCCCGTCTGACGGTTTTAGTGGCAATCTTGTGGGGCTCTATGTGTCTTCGTCGGGCGCTTCAAGACCGACTTGGAGGTCGCTTGGGCAGTCCTGGGGCGCCGTTCTGGAGTGTTTTTGACCCGTCTTGGGGCTCACCTGGGGGCTCCTTGGGCCACCTTGGAGCTGTATTAAGGTCTGCAGAGCAGTCTTCTGCTGTCGGAAGCCCGAAATGTCAAGAACGCGAAGATCTTTCAAAAACGAACGGGTAGCACGTGATGATGGTTTCCTCGGTCTTTTGTAACGGCATGTTGGAGCCCTCTTCGGGCGTCTTGGGAGCTTCTTGGACCGCATGGGTGCCATATTAGGCCGTCTTTGAGCAATATCGATCCGACTTTGACCATCCTGAACCGTCTTAAAGGCCATCTTGGCCGGCTTGGAGGCATCTCGGGACAACAAGGAACGGAATAACAATTTTGGACCATGTTTTCCGGAGTGCCGGCACGATCGGCCGAGACCACACCGGGGACTTTTGGCAGGGTTCAATCGGTTAACATTGAGCACGTTCAGCGTACTTCTTGCAAGCAACAGGGGGGCCGGCGGGTGGTGTGGCGTTCAGCCCATCTGGCCACCTTGCCTGAGTTGTACGTCGGAGGCCTTTTGGATGCCTCTTCGGATCTCTTGGAAGGCCAATCGGAAGCCTCTTTGAGGCAGTTTCGGGGGGCCTTGGGGCCTCCTTTGGGGCCTCCAAAAGCTTCCTGGAGGCCTCTTGGGGGCGTGCTAGCCCTTGCGGGGATTTTCTTGGGGCGGAGGGCTCGAATTGGAAATTCGTGTTCCCCTCTTGGCCCCCCTTTGGAATATCTCCAATAGCGTCTTGGCGCCGATTTCGGCACACCCCTCGCGAGGTTCGTAACCTCATAGCTGATAGGGAGCTCCACTTATAGCCCAGTGGAGGAACTCACATAGCATCCCAGCGTACATGTTGGTACGCCTCTCACGCGGATCGTGCTTTCACAGGGGCCCGAACCTCACCCATCCCGCAGCGCGTAGGATATGAGGAGACGGCTCTCCTTTCGCTGCACTCAGCTTCACAGGGTTGAACCCTAAGTCCGGCCAGTGAATGGCTGTTGCTTCCTTTCTCGGGTCTTCACGGTTATGCTTTTATGTTAATCTCGCGTGTTGGGTTGTTTTTGGGAGCTGTGAGAATGGTGCGAATGCACGGTAATTTCGCAGCGACAAACAACAAACACATCGAATATCTAGGCACGTCGACCACCCTCAGGAGACGGGTTATGAGAGGGCGCGAGGTCCCACACGCAAGTGACGCCGATGGGCCGGCAAACCCCTGCATCTGGTTGCGACGCACTTGTTGAGTTTGGGTCTGATTTGGTAATGCCGCAGATCACTTGCATACGTTTGCATATTGCACTACGCATCGTTTGTTGCGTTGCCTTTATGCTGACGTGACATGGTGCGGGGAGAGCTTGCGTATGATTGTAGCGTTGGCTTGTACAAGTGCCCACAGATGCTGAAAGAGATCTCTGCCGACTTCGCTAGGATGGAGGCGCAGCTCCAATCTGTAACACGCTTGTGTGCTCTGCTTTTTTTCAGTGGCCTGACATGTTACTTCATGTTTGTCACTACGTGCGCAGTCTCGTGATTCTTCTTTCGTTCAGTACTGCTCCAGCGTTTCCCCCCAGTTCTCTTTTGAGAATGCGCCCTGTGGGTATTCGCGTTCCAGTGTTGGTCGATCATTTCCTCGTTGGTTTGACCATGCACGCACGATCCTGCCAGCCACATTATATCGGGCATCGTGAGCGAAGGATGATGGTCTACTTGGGGTGCACCATCAGCGATTGCACCTGATCGCGTTTCTAGAGCAGCCCAACGTGCATCGCTGACGCGTCAGGATTCCATCATGCCCGTCTCGAGAGTGTGTGCCTTTGAGCTGACATAGGTGCACGCGGTTGCCTGCAGCCCACCACAAGGTCGTCATCAAAGAGTAAGCTCTCCGTTCGAACGCGGCGTGACTTCGAAGCTCAGGCGCGCGCGATTGCCAGCAGCGCAATGAAAGAACCCCACGTGATGCCCAGGCCGACACGCTCGCGTCCGAGGCGATGGACAAGAAGATGTACGATGAGGAGCTTCCGTCAAACGCGTGGCGCTGTTTTCGCGACTGACCGCAATTTGCGGGGTGGGGGGCGACAAGGCGTCTCCAGTGCCCCCATCTCTCGCGTACAGCGGAGTGCCCATGCCGAGAAGCACCCTGCTTGCCTCCAGGGTGCCCTGGGTTTCTTCGGCTTCGATGGTTTTGCTACGGAGAGCGTGACGCTCCCACACCAAAGATCCATGGACGTCCTGGGGTCTCAGGGTTGGCTCTCTTGTGGAAGGCCCCTTGTGGACCGGCCTCCAGCGTAGGAGGGGGCCATCCTCTGCCTGCCTTGGAGGGGCCGCCGGGTGGGGCAGCTGGCCAGCCTCTCGGCTCGTCTTGGGCGGACGGGAGCCCGCAAAGGCGACGCCGCCAGCATCCTTCACCATCCCGCAACAACGCATGCCAACTCGATGAACTCTGCGCCTTGGGGCCCTCTTCGGGTCTTGCTGGAGTGCTCTTGGCCCGTCTCGGCCTCTTGGGCCGTCCTGCGCTCTTGGCCTCCTGGGCCTCGCGGCCTCGATCAGTTGGTCGACCCTGCCAAGTCGAGGCTACCGTCGTGTCGTTTGTCTCGTGACCCGTGCCTCCTGCATTCCTACGGCAATGCAGCCCTCGGAAGGGTCTTCTTTAGGAGGGAAAACAAAAATACACAGACACAATTAACCGTCGACTCCCCAGAAAATATGGGAACATATGGGAAGTGGTGGGGAAGACAAAACCCCAGAAAATATGGGACCATATGGGGGATCTTTTTATTTCTGTGTATTGATTTGTGTGTCCCAGGGCCCCTTCACTTGTGCCCTCTCCGCGTGCCCTCTCCAATCAAAGGCCCGACGGCATCCTGGGCCGCGCTGGAGCGCCCTCGGCCCGAGGCCGCGGGGCCCTCCCGAGCGCGCGCTCCCGAGCGCCGCTTTGGGGGGGGGCGTCCCGTGGCCGGCCCCGGGGGGCTCGCAGCCGCCCGGGATGACCTCGAGGGGCTCTCCGGGGGGCAGCCGTCGGGGGCGGAAACGATCGAGGGGGGTGATGACTAGGGGGGGGTGGATATCATGGCGGGGGCCATGATCTTTCCCCAGATCTCAGGGGGGCGCCTCTTCTTGCTGCATCACGCCCCTGGCCCCCCCGCTGGGCCGCGCACCTGCCGCCGGTCGTGGTCTGCACCCGCCCCTCTTGGACACCCTCCTCTTGGCCGCTCCCGACCGGGGGCCCTCTCCGGGGGGCAGCCGCCGGAGCGGGGTGCGGGGCCGGCCGAGGCGCGTCCTGCAGCCATCGAGCATTACGGAGTCGCGGGGGGGGAAAGGGCACGCAGACACAGCGAGGCGCCGATGTCCCGGAAGAGCAAAGGGAACTACTTACGGGGAAGGGGGCGGGGGGGGGGAGGCAGACGCCCAGAGAGTATATGGGAACGCATGGGGAGGTCCTGTTGTTCGTGTCTATTTGCCTCTGTGTCCCAGGGCCCCTTCAAAGAGCCCCTGATCCCCCCCTGATGGCACGATGAAGACGCGGCCTCAGCAAGGTCCCCGTCTTCGCAGCAGAGAATGGTTATGGGCGGTGTGGTCTGATACATCTGCAAGAAGGATCCCCTTATCCCTGATGTTTCTGGCCCTGCTAAGTCAGGTCGCCTCTCCCAAAGGGTCAGGGCCTCTTTCTTGGCTACACACTCTAACCCCTTCCTTCTCTGCCGTTCGGCTTCGTCGTCGTCCGCGGTTGAGTCGGTGCGGCTGCTTCGCTGTTTGCTGGCCTGTCGGATTCGGGTTCTCACGTCTGTTCGACCAGTTTGCCATGTTGTTGTCGCCGTGGACGTCTACTATGCCTCCCTTCCCTTCTATCAGGGCTCCATCGCCAAGTGTCACACCACGAGGCGTTTCGCGCTGCCCCGATCAGATTTTCCGACCCAGCGCGCTGTTGGGGAAGGCGGAGCCGCATCGCATCTTTGTTGGTTGTTGGCCGTTGCCTGGGGTGAGTACCCTGCGCACGCGATTATGTCACGCGATCGTTTTGAGCACACCCCACATCCAACGCTCTTGATTCGGACATGCAAGGTTCAGGTCTGCCATGTGCGTCAAACTGCCAAGGTCATGCGAGTTGGAGCGACCTTTCGTTGAACGCGTTGTTAGCTCGTTGACAATCATACGAATGCCTGTGCGTCAAGTAGAGTGATTTGATCTTGTCATTCCAACTTCACTCGAGCAGGAGATGTCGAAGTGTGACATCGAGAAGGCAGGGCGCCACTCTGAGTCTGCCGACTCGCTCCAGCCAACACTTAAGTCCGTTTGCGACTTGCGCAGCGAATCATTCGTCATCATGTTCTTTCTTCCTGCGTGTTTTGTCCAGAATTGCACCGCATTGAAGTTTAGTAGGGCGGCGCGATCAGGGGAAGGCTTTGTGGGACTTCGCCTGGGTCTATTGGATTTAGACTGAGCGTTCTCCCATGGCTTTCATGGCTCCGTAGTGATACTTTACCGAAGCCGGCCGTTCGGTGCCCTCCTCCCTCATCACTCCTCCCGTCTCCCTCTTATCTCTTTCCCGTCTCCTTCTCCTTGGTCCTCCACCTCCTACTCCTCCTCCTCCTCTCTCGTCCTCAGACCTTTTACAAATCAACAGCAGCGTCCAGAAGATCAAGGCTGGTCTTTCTTCAGTTCCAGACCAATCCAACGACCTCGATAAAGCACTCTACGCTTCTGCAATCCCGCCAGCACGCGCCGCATGCCCAAACTATGCTGGGGTGCACTCACGCGAGAACTTTACAGACTGTGCCGTGCACGGCACACTCCACGCGGACAACGCCCTGCAGCCCTCCCCCACCGTTCTAACGGCTTGGGAGAGCGCGTATGTGCGAGTCATTTGCGCGCACCCCGCTCACGGGCCAGGTGGCGACAGGCAAGAGAAGGTTGGCCTCCCGAGCCGTCGACGACGACGACTCAACGACCGACGACGAAGACTTCGACGACGACGACTTCGACGTCGACGACGACGACGACGTCGACGACGACGACGACGACAACGACGACGACGGGGCAGGCAGGGGCGGGGGCCGTACCTCCTTGCGCCTCTGGCGCGCCAGCTGGAGCTCTCGGCGCGACGTGTGCTTGGTGTTTCCGCCGCCAGGGCGGCCCCCGCAATCCCAATCTGGTAACTTCAAGGCCTGCGCCAACCTGACACGGGTGGTGTGATTTGCGGGCCGCTTCTTGGTTCTTTCTTTGGCGGCCCGCGCTGCAGCCTAGGAGTTGCCAGCCATCAGCTTGATTGCCATCAGCTTATGGGGTGCGGTGCGCCTTCACTTTCACGCAGTTGACAGTCTGGGACCCCGTCCCACCCCAGTCAGTCATCTTGTCCCACGCGAGCTTGCGCACGACGGCATCGACGCTGCTGTGCGGTGCCCCTAGACAAAACGTGTCCACACCCATGGCGTGAAGACAGGGTGTGTTTTCCTTTTTTTCTTGCCCTGTCGTCCTCTCCTTTCTTTCTCTCCCTCTATCCCCTCCCCTCTTCCCCTCCCCTCTTCCCCTTCACCAGTTTCCCCGCCCGCCTCTCCCTCTCTCGAGTCTTCCTCTGCCTTCCCTCTCCCGTACACCCTGCTCAACTCCCACCCCCACCCCCACCCATTTTGCCCCCCTTGCTCCTCCCCCGCTCTCCACGCTCCTCCGCTTTCCTCTGGCCTCCCGGGTCTCCAATCCAGCCCGATCCAGCCGTTCCTCCGCCTCCCTCGCCGTTCCTCCGCTTGTCCCTCCAATCCAGCCCGGCAGGCCAAGCGAGCCAAGGAGGCCGAGATGAAGGCGGACGAGAAGAAGCGGCTGACGGACAAGGCGCCTTCTGGCCGCCCTCCAGCGATTTTGCAGACGCCCTCCAGCTCCACCAGCCGCCCTCGATGCGCCCGATTCCTCCACTCAGGGGCAACAATGGGGGGGATAGGCACAGGGGGGGATGCATCGATCCCCAATCGCCCATTGATCGCCGATAAGGGGTCCGATAGCCCCAGCCTGCTCAGGAGCGCGCGGACACTATCGGGGGCCTATCGATCGCCGATCTATCGGCGATATATCTATCGCCGAGTCCTGTCCGATGTTTCCCCCTCTATGTCTATCCCCCCCTACCGTGGCCCTTCACAGGAGGGCGCCGAAGATGGCGCGGGCGCGGGAGGGAAAGGCGGGCAAGGCGCACTGGAAAGGACGAGTCATGGAAGTAATTTGTGCGGATGGAATGTTGCGGCGCGGGGACGCCCCAGCCACCCCAGCCTCGGCCGCCCTCTCTTACCAGCCTGGAACATGTCCCCATCCCTATGCTGGGCACCTCCTCATCACGATGCCAGTCCTAGGGATTCCCTTACTTTCTGAGGGCGAATCCCTAAGATTGTCATCGCCTTTTGGCGTGTCAATCTTAGGGATAGGGATACGTTCGAGGCTGGTAACTCCCCCCCCCTGCGCGTGGCCGAGCCTGCTGCCAGGGGCGCAGCCCTGGCTGGCCGCCCAGGCAGCTCCACGGCGACGCACCTCGCCATGCGAGTGCCCTCCCCTCTCCCCATCTTGCCTCGCGGCCGCTGCCGCTGGACGAGTGCGTTCCACTCTACCCGCAAAAAGTAACAGCTCGCAAATGGCCTGGATGCCCCGCGGAGGCCATCGGTACGTCCCCATCGGTCCTCGTCCCCTCATCCGCACGCTCTCTGGCCGCCCTCGGGAGGGACGGCTGCCGCCCCCCCGCCTCGAGGCGGGCTCCTCTCCGGCCGCCCCCCATGTCCCCCCTGCAGGGAGGGTTGGAGGGGAGCAGGCGGAGGAGGAGGAGGAGGACGACGACGAACTAGAGGAGGAGGAGGAGGAGGAGGAGGAGGAGGGAGTAGCAAGCGGAGGAGAGGGAGGAGGAGGAGGAGGAGGAGGAGGAGGAGGAGGAGGAGGAGGAGGAGAGGAGGAGGAGGAGGAGGAGAGGGAGAAGGAGGAGGTGATGGAGGTGGAGGTGGAGGTGGAGGTGGAGGTGGAGGTGGAGGTGGAGGAGGAGGAGGAGGAGGAGGAGGAGGAGGAGGAGATAAGATGAGACGGCTCCCAGGGACGTCCAGGGAGGAAGGGACCAGCCCGACTCAAAATTGGGGGGGGTGCACCATCGAAGGGGATGTTTGCGACAGGTGCACGCCGCCCCGACTAAGGCCTCCGACGGGCCTCTTCACGAGCTCGGATTCGCTCGTGGAAGCGGGCCAGTCGAGCTTCATACGGGACAGCGCTGTCCAAAGCAAAATTGGCATTGCTGGCGACGGTGGTCCTGGACACGACGTCCCGAGCGGACGCGACCGACACACCGACGTTTGGGGCGGGGATGGCCCGCTCGATCACCGCACGGATACGGGGGTTGGGAGAACCCGACACGGAAACCAGCTGGCGCCCGAGAGGGTCTTCCGTGAGGGACTTCAGAAACGAGGGGATCCTAAGACATTCATTGATCAGCAGATTTGCGGCACGAAGGCGCAACCTTGAAACAAAAAACACGTTGCAAACCCAGATCACTCCGCCCCAAGAGTGCCACCCCTACTCAAGAGAGTTAGTTCTACGTCGCAGGACCGCGTGCCGACGTCAGCTCTGAGTGCTGTCTCCAAGACAACACGAGAGGACAGCACCAGCAAGAACAACAACATCGGCAACCCGATTTCTCGCGAGATCGTTCGATGCCAAAAACTGGCGCAGTGGAGGGGTGGAGGCTGGAGGCAAGCTTCGCAGGATGATCAGCAATCCTGTTGACCTCCGCCCAGCGACGCTCCTCGGCATCGACACGTTCGATCCGTTCCTGCGAACGGTGAGCCTTCATATGACGAGCCGAGATGAACTGGTGATCTTCGAGGCCAACACCGGATTTTAAAATATTTGCAGCCTGGCTAGAGGCACGCAGTCGATTGGACAGAGGCTGCTGGAACCGACGAATCGCCGCCACGCGGTCACTGCAAGCCAGGGTCTCGCGGTCGGTGGTCTGACCAATCAAGCAGAGAACAGCGCTCTCAGCGATGCTCGGAGTCTGAAGGAGGTAACCAGCCACAGGCCAACGCAAGATAGCGACGGGCACATCTGATGCAGGGGAGCACACAGCAATGGACCACGACGCGCGGCCCAGCTCAACTAACCCTGGTCGCGTGCGCGGCCCGCCAGGGGCGACGTGAAGTCGCGGCCCTCGGACAGTCCACGTCAAGCACGGCTTCGACCTCCACGTCTAGAGCCTCCCCATTGGGGGCCTTCGAGGACCACCTGGGCTTCTGCGAAGATGTCGGGGCACCAGGCGGTCCTTGAATGGGGACTGGAACATGCCTCCTGGGATGCTTCTGGAGTCCGGTTTCCTTGAAAAGCTCGGAGGATCTGATCAAGCCTTGGGCGGTCTGAGCCACCTGGATTATTTCGCGCGCACGGGGGGCATTGCGAAGGGCACTCAGGAGACGAGCGTCGCGCAGGTGGCGCAGCCGTCGCCGCGCAAGCCAGTGCATCTTCAACTCCTTCCTAGGCCGGCGCAGCTGTGCGCGCTGACTCTCCGCGAGCCCCCTCCGATTCCCGAGGCCAGGCCGATCGGGGCCGGGCGGGGGCCGCCTGGCCGGAGCAGTGTAGTTGACGTTGCAGAAGGGCGCTTCGGGGCGGCCTTCGCGGGGAAGATCTCGGAGGCGCGAGACATGCTTGATTGGGTCTACTGTCAGTGGGCCAATCGGGTCGGGCCGAGGAGGAGTTGTGCGATTTAGCTTTGACGACGCTGCCCAACGTCGGTGCCCGCATTGAGTCGCCGCAACTGCACTGGGTTTCAAATCTCAAGGGCCCCCCCCCTCTCAGGCACGCCAAGATGTTCGCGGGCAAATGGGGCGCGCTCAGACTCCAGGGCACTCAGGTCAGGGGGGAGTCTCTGGAGGCTCTTAAGAACGAGGTCAACATCTTGACCCCCCCCCTCCTTTCGTTACCAGCGTCGGCTCGGATGACTGGGTTGACTTTCTCAGCGCGGCCCAGCGTCCGGCCCGAGCCTGTTCCCTGGTTGTCGGCGGCCACGAAGAATGCAGCAGCTGACCCCTTTGGCAAGTGCGAGTGGCTGGAGGCCGCCGAGGACTCGCTGGGGCCATCGCAGCAATCTGTCGCCAAGCTCCAGTCCGAGGCCCGCAGCGAAGGTCCGGCAGGGTGGAAAGATTGGCTCTTCACCAGGATCTTGGAGGGGGGGGGGGGGGGGGGGGGGGGCAATGCCCATCCGGCCTCCAAGGAGGCCCTGGTTGGAAACCCACCGCCACTACCCTGTCGGCGGGGGGCCTTGTGCTCTCGGGCCCGCTCAGTCTTTTGAAAGGGGGGCTCCGACTGGGCCAAGATCTGGGAAGCGACTTCGAACGCCCCAGGGCGTGCGTTCGAAGGTGCGTGCCAGCCCCTGCCCGTGGTCTCGGTCGATCGCATGAGGCCTATCTCGGCTGCGTTCAAGTCGACCATGGCCTAGGCTGTGAATAGATTTCACATGGGGCTCTACTCGTGGCTGTCCGATTCCGCCCTTCGGGTGCTGGGTCTCCTTTTCGCCATCTTCGAAGCGCCCTCCAGCCTGCCGTTGCATCTCCAGATTGTCCAGGTGGTGCTGTCATCTACGGCCACTTGGGGATGCCGCCCCATCGGATTATTCACGGACACGTTCAGGTTGCGGGAGAAATGCAGATGGGAGTTGGCTGCGGAGTGGGGGGCCAGTAGCGCGCGCAGCTTTTTCATCGCACGGCAACTCGTTGCACGCGCCGGAAAACAGGGTCCGAGTCAGGCCTTGGGTCGCGAAGTGACAAGGGAGATAGAATGGAGGAGTAGCATGTGGATGAGAGTTTGGGGATTATTGGGCACGCGAGACTTCGGGTCAAGGCCTGGGGGGCCATCAGCATTTGTTGGCCCGCCCCCCTACCCTGGCGCCTCGGCGAGTGCACCCGCGCGGGCCTGCTCGAAATGAGCGTGCGTTTGGAAATCTCTGCAAGCAGATAAGGTGCACCGTGATAAAGTGCGCACGCGGGCCGCGGTCGAACGCATTGGCGCGTTCAGGGTTCCAGCCCCTGCTCGCCGAACCCCGGCTTTGGGTGCGCGCCTCGGACTGGGCCTCAGGGCGCGAGCACCAGGCAGCTCCCCACCGTCGGCGAGCGCCACCCCCTGCCTTCGCGGGCGTGCCCGGATCAGCCCCCGAGGCCTGCGGGGGGTCTCTGTTTTCCCTCGCAGTTCCTTTGCGTCCGCTGCGGGCGCGGTCTGGCGGCAGGCGGCCCGTGCTGAGATCAGCAGTCGGAAGGGTGGAACTTCGGCCATGTTACTGCGGGACATGACCAAGTTTCACGAGAACGTCTCGCATGAAAGGTTAGCGTTGGAATGCATGAGGTTTGGTATCCCCCCTGCCATCACCCAGCTCTGCACATCTGCTTAATTCGGGTTTGGATTCCACGAGGCCGCCGAGTGAAGTTTTATCAGGCAGCAAAGAAGGTTCCAGGCAGTTGGAGCAGGCGCTGGTCCACGGGCGCGGCTGCTCGATCCCCCGCCCCCAGGCTGGCCAAGGGAATCTTGTCTGCTCGGGCGGCTTGGTCGCTAAGCAGCTTCGCGTTTTCCTGGGGGATCGCGCTGGGCCCTTGGCAAACAGCGCGGTGGATCTAGGCGTCGATGTCATTGCGGGCAGGTCTAGGAGGAAGGCTTATGTTAGGATGGCCCCCAGAGAGACCAAGTTCAAGATTCGCACGGCCAACCTGAAGGCCAAGACGAGAACGGTCCGCGCCATGGAAAAAAACGATATCACCTACCACGCCAAAACAATCTAGGCGTCGGGCCCCATCCCTGGTGTTCTGCGCGGCTCCGAGGTCCATGATGGGGAGCAACATGGGGTCCGCCTGCAGGCCGGTTCTGTCATGGGGCTCAATTGTAAAAGGGAGGTCGTTCAAAGGCTTGCTTATCTTAGACGACGAGCTCACATGGCTTGCGGCGGTGGCAAAGGAGATCTGGCGTGCCCACTCAGGCGCGTACCGATGGTGTTTTAGCTTTGTCGAGCTTCGTGAGTCGTGGAGAAATTGCTCCATGAAGCGAGGGCCGACTTCTTGGAGAGATATCACGGGGCTTTGTTCAGCGATGCGTATGTGTCTTAGGTGGATATTGCGAAAGTTCTTAGATTGAGCCACGCTGGGAAACGATGTCGGGGAACATCTGGTCCTCGCGGAGGTGAGTTCAGGGCTTCCGAAGATTGTGTCGCGTCAAGATGCCCCTCGGAGCCTGGAGAGGGTCGCGGCCCAAAAATAGGTCCTGGAGGCGCCCAGATTCTTTGCGATGTGCTCATGCGGGCGCTGCATTCGAGTAGGTTTCCCCGTCGGGCAGGCGGCTATCCGCATTGTCGGCTGCGACGCCAGCTGGGCGAGTGCGCGCGCGGAGCCTGGGATGCCAGCTCGAGTCTGTCAAGTGTTCTCCTTTCCGACGAGGGCCAGACGCGTTTTTGCATCGCCTTTGGCGGCATTGCTCGGCGCGCGCGGAGGAGCGCGCAATGATCGTCTCGAGGAAGCGCCAACAGTATGTGAATAGCATGGATGAGGACAGCCCCAGGATCTGCTGCTGCTGACTCGCGCCACCCCCCCTCGCCCCGGCGACTTCTGACCCAGGCCTGATCCGAGCGCAAGACCGCGCGGCACTGGGGGGAGGAGGTCACGGAGGAGGGGCAGTTAGTGATGGGGGAGTTGTTCCGGGACGGCAGTTGCACTACATGTGTCGTGCCCGAGCTGAATCGGGCAGCCTGGGGCATGAGGTTGTCGATCGGGCTGTCAGGTTCATGGGGCGTGTCACCGGCGCGGTGCACGTCGGCCTGCCGCGCGCGTGCTGGTAAAGTCGTCGAAGGCGCGTGTGACATGTACACTGACTGTGCGAATGTGCGCGCAGAGGCGAACAGACCCCTGGGTGACCAGATGCACAGCAGAGGCCTTGCGCGGGCTTGCTCCTGCACGGACAACGAGCGTCGCATCTCATCCAGATTGTCAGCGCGGTCAAGGCACACATGTCACTGGACGAACAGGGGGCCCCAGTGTGCGAGATGAGGCTTCGGAGAGGAAATATCCCAGCCGACCAAGCCGCGAAAGCTGGGGCCCGCCACAACGCGGTCGCTGTCGCCGAGCAGATGCAAGAGTTGGACGAAGCGTTGTTGATAGCAAGCGCAGTTTGCAAGTTGGCCGCGGCGCTGCTAATGCATTGGCCGAGGCTCGATTTAAAAGATGCGGAGCGTGTGCCTGATGGGCGGGCCTGAGTGGGGCACCCTGGCCGCCTTCAGCACGCGTGGGGATTCAAAGCGAATCGCTGGCGCTGCAGCGTTTGTCTTGAGGCCTCTCGGTCTCAGCTCCGCCCCCCCGCGTCTCATTGCTCGGGTATCCGCGGGGGCTGGGGCTTCGGGGAGATGGAGAGACAAGGCCATTTTGTTGTCGGCCTGCCATGTGACAGCGGCGACGCGCCGCACATTTTCACACGGCGCGCGGCCCATGTCGGGCGTGGCTCGCTCGAGCAGTCAAACTTCTGAGGCAGATGTGAGCAGCGGATGACCGCTCGCAGGAAATGTCTCTGGCGCCGCGTGCCCCGCGGGCTCTACCACAGCTACAGTTCTAGTCGGAAGGTGGACGCCGACGGTGTTCAATACCTCGCCGTGCGAGGTGGATTGGAAGCATGACTTAAATCGCTGCGGTGCCTCGCAATGGCCAGGGTCACTGGCGCATGCGAGCTGGCCCCCCAGTCTGCTCAGGTGGACATGGGTGTGGCCACGCAGTTCTAGCTTGCTGGTCATAGTTATGTTGATATCAAGAAAGCCAGATGACGGTGATTCTACATTACCGCCGCTTGGGGAGCCCAGGATTCCAGTCGGCGGCGGGTGTGTGGAAAACTTTGGTCGCTAGCGTCAAACAGCCGCCCGATCCCGAACGCGCGAGCGCTAAAACAACACGCGGGCCCCTTGCGGTTGTGAGGAGAGAGATTCCGGGTAGGGTTTTGCGAAGGGAGCAACGGAAACTGCAAATCCTACCGCGAAATGGTTTGCTGATTCCCGAGCCAGCGGTCAATCAGCGATTTCGGGATCGGGACCGTGAGTTCGCGGACCGAGGCATCAGATCGAGGTCGGCTCGGGGAGGGTGCCCGAAATGTGTTCGTGCCTGCGGGATGTCCTTGCGCATCCTGGGAGAGGGAACCTTCGAATGTTCTTCAGTTCGGCCGACGGAAGGGTCCCATGTTTTCGATCGGGCGTCGCGCAATGGGGGGCGGTAGATAAATGGGGGGGGGAGCGAGGGCTGCACTCAGGGCCCCTGCAGTTTGGACGCCCGAAATGGGCACGGAAAGAATGGATACAATGCCCAACATCAAATGTTGTCCCAAACCAACAGCGGCCGCTGTTGAGCAGGCAGGCTTGTGTCTCAAAATGAGCAGGATCCGTTGTTCGGCGTTGTGCCTATTCTTTCCGTGCACACTTCGGGCGTCCAGATGCAGGGGCCCTGTAGGGCCCCAGAAGGGGACCTTTAGGGCCCGACAAGGGCACCTTTCTGTTCCCTTCCCCCCCCCCCCATGTATTGCCCCCCCCCCATCGAGGGTGCTCTTCTGCCCTACAGGTCCAGCCGTGCCCGTGCCCTCCACGTCCTATAGGGAACTGGGGCGTCGTCTCCCGGCGGAGGCTGCGGGAGGGGGCGCGCCTGGCCGCCCCCTCGGCCTCGAGGCGGGGCGTGCTGCTCCCACGAGGCCCCACGCCGACGCAGCAAGCCCGCCCCGGCAAGGTCAGAGCGCGTGCCCCAGGAGGGCCCCGACCCAGCGAGGCGCCCGGCGGGGCACGCCCAGTGAGGCTCGGGCGCCGCGCAATGGTCAGGAGGAGAAAAAAACACAGAGACACAATTCATCGTCGATTCCCCAGAACATATGGGAAAATATGGGCAGCGGGGGGGGAGACAGAAACCCAGAAAATGTGAGAACATATGGGGAATCTTTTTATTTGTGTGTATTTATTTGTGTGTCCCAGAGCCCCTTCAAATGGGGGGGCGATGCGTCGGGGGGGCAGCGAGGGCTGCAGAAAGGGAGGCTTGGGGGCCCCAAGAAGGATGCCTTTCGGGCCCGAGAAGAAGCGCACTCTTCTTCCCCCCCATTTGGCGTTAAGTCGGGCGTGTCCCCCAGATAAAGGGATTTTGGGCGAAAAGATACAATATATCCAAACAATGCCACAACAACCAGCAAAAGCAGTCAAAAAATCGTCCCCGTCTTACTGTTGAACTATGTTTGAATTTTCCTCCTGGGACAGTTCCGACTTCAATTCAGCGCCCCCTCTTTAAGCGCAGCCCAAACTGTGCCCGGAGGCCCAGGAGGGCGCAGGCCTACCAGTCAGGCGCCCAGGAATAGCCGGGGAGGGACCCGCCGACGCGCCCGGCGGGGTAGTGACCGGCCTGCCGCGAGGACCGCCGGTGGCGGACGTCCAGCTTCCCTCGGGAGCCTCGCGACGGGGGTCAATGCAACCGGGGGTCAGCCAGGGCACTGGATCGAGCACAGGCGTTGGGTGGCTCAGGTTTCGCAGGAGGCGGAGGAGGAGCAGGAGCAGGACCAGGAGGAGGAGGAGCAGGAGGAGGAGGAGCAGGCGGAGGAGGAGGAGGAGGCGAAAGCGGAGGCGGAGGAGGAAGAGGAGGAGGAGGAGGATGAGGAGGAGGAGGAGGAGGAGGAGGAAGAGGGGGAGGAGGAGGTGGTAGGAGGAGGTGGTAGGAGGAGGACCAGGAGGAGGAGGAGCAAGAGGAGGACAAGGAGGAGGAAGAGGTTGAGTTGGAGGAGGAGGAGATGAGGAGGAGATGAGGATGAGGATGAGGATGATGATGATGATGATGATGATGATGATGATGATGATGATGATGATGATGATGATGATGATGATGATGATGATGATGATGATGATGATGATGATGATGATGATGATGATGATGATGATGATGATGATGATGATGATGATGATGATTATGATGATGATGATGATGATGATGATGAGGAGGAGGAGGAGGAGGAGGAGAGTGATAAAAGGGAGGAGGAGGAAAGGGAGGAGGATGCATTGGGCATCCCTCGAAGACCAGGCGCGCAGGTCCAGTTCCAGCTCTTCAGCGTCGCAGAGCCTGCCCGCGCGGCTGCGCTGTCCACAGGGCTCGGGGCGTTGCCGGCCCCGCGCCGTCGCGTCCCTTACGGCTGGCGTTTCCTCCATTTTGCCTTCTTCGGCCATCGGGGGTCGTTTACGGTCCCCAGGACCGCCAAAAAAGCGGATCTGGGGCGAACAGTTGTCCAGAAGGACCCCGAGTAGGTTAGGACCCCCCTCCTGACGGATTCGTTCGGACCCCAACAGGTGCAGACCCCTCGGCCGCTTCCAACTCCCACTCCCCCCTTCTTCCCCGCCTCATGTTGTTCCTCCTCGTGCCCCTCCGGCTTACCTCCTATCTCCAACGCCTCCCCCCTTGCCCATGCGCACTCAAGGATTAAGCACACCCCCCCACGGGCCAGGTAGCCAGCTACACGAAGACCCTGAAGCACACGACGTCGGAGCTGGAGGCTGTCGAGCAGTACAGCAAGGATCCTCCCTCCCACGAAGGCGCCAATCTCGACCCCATCCGGCACCCGCTCGCATGGCCCAGCAGTGCCCCCCCGACCACCCCCCTGAGCTTCTGCTTGCTCCCTCCTGTGCCTTGCTCCTGCTTCTGGTCACACCCGTCCCCGTTCGTCATTCCTCCCTCTCCTCAATCCTCTCCCGCGTTTCCCCATCCAATCGTGTTCTCTCGTACCCTGCCATCCCCCCGTCGTGGTGCCGCTACGACCGTTCTGATTCGTGTGTGTGCGTTTGCATATCATACCCTGATGTGCTGTATGGCGGTAGGTGCTGCGGGATCCAAAGCGATGATTGAGGGCCCGGTCGCATCCCCGCGCCTTGTACTTACATTGATAGTGCCTCGTCGCCGCGTGCGAGGCCGCTTTCGCCGAAAAGTATGAGCGCGCGTGCGCTTGTTTGTTCGATGGAGCTGTAGGCACACAAGCACACTGCTTATCCTCCGCCGGCCGCGTGGCGTCACCGCAGCGAGAGAGCACAGGGCACAAGCGAGTTGGTGATCAGAGGAGGAAAGGGTACCCATACCGCTACTGCCGTCTTCCTTTTTGTTCGGCCTCCTGGGAGGCCCTCGTCGACACCGCTTCAGTCGCCTCGAAATCCTGGTCAGAAAGCACCCTAGGAGAGGTCCTGGGAGTAGCGGTATCGGTACCTTGTGATTTCCCCCGGGGAATTCCGCCAGGGCGGTGCGGGTGGCTGGCTTCGCCAGGCAAGCGAGCCTGTCGGGAACAGCACCCACCTTAGTCGGAGGGGCAGGCGAAACCAGAGCATGCAGGACATACAGGGGTGTTCAGACCCAAGACCACACACATGTGTATATATATATGTATATATGTATATATGTATGTTTAGATAATATTCATGTGTATCTCTCTCTCTATATATGTTTGTGTGTATGCATGTTTATGTAGGCGTGTATGTTTGTGTGCATGTATATGTGTGTACGCATGGATGTATGTATGCATGTATGTATGTTTGCATGCATGTATGTATGCATGTATGTATGTATGTATGTAGGTAGGTAGGTAGGTAGGTAGGTAGGTAGGTATGGATGCATGCATGGATACATGCATGCATGCGTGCATGTATGTATGCATGAATGGATGGATGTATTGATGGATGGATGGATGAACGTATGTATGTATTGGTGGATGTATCTATGTCTGCATGCATGCATGCATGCATGTATGTACGTACGTACGTACGTACGTGCGTACATATGTATGTGCATGTATGTATGCATGTATGTATGGATGGATGGATGCATGTATGCATGCATGCATGCATGTGTGTGTGTATCTGTAACCGGGGTTCCAGGTTCCCAGGGGGGGCCAGGCCCCATTTCTCCATGGCGGGACCGGGGCTTCAGGACCCGTTCCCGCTCCAAAACGGCCGAGATGGCCTCCAAGACGGCCAAGATGGCCCATGATCAACACGCTTGAGATTGCCTCCACGACAGCCCCGAAGCGCTCCATGTGGGCCCGAAAACGGCGAAGACAGGCCTCAAAGACGACTTGCGGCAGCGCCCGACGGGCCATAAACGCTCTAAGAGAGCCAAAGAGTCCCCCAAGAAGCCCCCAAGAGCCACCAAGAAACCCAAGGAGATCCCAAGAGGCCTCGAAGACTCCTCCAGGAAGCTCCCAGGAGGCCCCAAGCGTGCCCCAAGAGGCTCCACAGAGGCCTCTTCCTCCTCATCCTCCTCATTTTCCTGCTCCTACTTTCTCAAAGTCCTCCCCCCAGCTCGTTGTCATCGTCGTCGTCGGCGCCATTGTTCCCTCCGTGTCGCCCCGGCCGCTTCAGTGCGAGCCGTGTTGTGTGTGCATGTGTATATGAATGTGTGGTGTGTGTGTGTTTGTTGTTGGTATATGTTTTGTGTGTGCTGCTGTTCGTCGGGGTGGGGCAGTTAGGCGGGTGAGTGGGTTGGAGCTGGCGAAGCAGTGTTTTTCATTATGGAGATGGCGTACGCTTTCGATGAAATTGATGAGGCGGAGGAGCAAGTAAGAGATTGAGCGTGCTGATGATAATGACGATGGCCGCGATGATGATCTCGG